CCCCCCCCCCCCCCCCCAAAAAAAAAAAAACACAATGACTAGAACAGGCAAAAAGCCTAGACTTACTTCAGAGTCCCGTATAAGTCCGTGAAGGTACACATGAGTAAATGGAACGGTCCCTGTAAATTCTATTCCCATCATAACCATTCTTGCTACCCAGAAAAATAGTATGTCATGCCTGTCCAATCAAAAGGAGAATAGTTATTTGGAGAAAGTAATGTGAATTTTAAATAAGCAACAAACACGCATTTTTTTTCCAGGTTCACGTCATTTAAGACCTCACTTCTTGGTAAAAGAAACTTTTTGTTGGCCCCAAAAGATTTATTTTACTAATGAAGGGTCTAGCATTAGTATTAGCCCTGATAGTAGCAGCCAGTGTTTTCCTGATCGTCAAAGGAAGAAAGGAATATACCCTGTTTCTAACATACTTGTAGGGTAGAAGTTTTTGAAATCCTCTGCTGATACATCAGGCCAGCCAAGGGTGCTGAATGGCCACAATGAGCTGCATAAAGACACATCTTAGGTAAATTATAAAGGTTGTTCAAAGTGTCTATTACGGAGAAACTGAAATTTTCACATGATTAAACTATAGAGTAGTTCAATAACAATGGAGCACAGGAGAGAAATCATCTCCAGACAAATACAACTAACCTGGAAAACCAGGTGTCAAGAACATCTGGATCCTGATATATCTCAACATCTTTTCCATACTTCTCATGAGCTTTCTCAAGGGCTTCTTCAGCATTTTTGGCAACTATGTAGTCCTCCTCGCAATCCTTTCCAACCACATACCAAACTGGTATGCGATGCCCCCACCACAGCTGCCGGCTTATGCACCAATCCTTAATATTTGTCAGCCAGTGATTGTATATCTGCAAGTGGCGACATAAAAAAAATATGAGCCAAAGCAGAAGTATGCAGTGTAAGCAATCAAAAATCTAAGCATTGCAATGATTTTTCTAAATTGACAGGAGAAACTAATCACACACAACCAGTCGTTTGCATACCTTCTCAAATCTCTCAGGTATGATGGTAAGTTCTTTTTTCTCAACAGCAAGAAGAGCCTTCTCAGCTAAAGGATCCATGTGGACAAACCATTGTTTGCTTACAAGTGGCTCAATAACCTAACACCAGTTAAACCATGCATAATTAAATATATGAACTTCTAACGAACTGGAATATTGATACTGGGTGAGGAGAAAAATACTTCTCCGCCACGCTGAGATCTTGGAACTCGTGAAGTATGAGGCTCCTTTTTGACAGCTAAACCTGTCTCCTCAAGATCTGCCCATAGTTTCTCCCTCACAGCAAACCGATCAAGGCCACTGAAAATACAATGCATGTTAAGGTTCCATGTACGTTAAGAAGTAACATCAGGGTTTTCCATTTCATAATGGTGAACTAATGCAGCTAACATATAAGATGAAAACAATTTTTTTACCAAAACAAGCCAGCAACGTCATTTAGTGTTCCATCCTTGTTCATCACATTCAGAATGGGGAGACCTAGCTTCCTTGCAAGAAGATAATCGTTGTGATCATGCCCAGGACTTATCTTCAGAACACCAGTCCCAAAATCCTTATCAACATACTGCCACAGTAAACAGAAAATACTGATGAGGTAACTTCTATTTCTCGCTTCTGAGTAACTAGAACTTAGAAGTTCTCCAACAAAAAAAATACTGATAAGAAAGGCATGACGAACAGAAAAGAAAAAAAACAGTGTAGTCTTTTCCTTGTTGAGTTAAGCAAAAGATACTTGATCCTAAAAGACATTATAAAGAGAGGATAGGCAGTAGCTCTGAAATCACCTTATCAGAAATAATTGGCACATGACGACCATATGTCATAGGCACAATTGCTGTCTCACCAACATACTTGGAATATCGATCATCCTGTCAGATGCCAAACACATTTCACAACATTAATGCTCAAACAATGCCCGTGAAAGAGAACCTATTAAAGGAAACCATCAGAAAAATATCTATATACACATGAGATCCCTAAAACATTATAACTTCCTTTGTAGATTACCTCTTCTTACATTAAATTTGATAGTACCATTCTGTCATTCCCATATCCTATTATCAAACGCAAAAAAAAAAAAAGAGAAATATCACCACCAACCTCAGGATGCACGGCAATGGCCACATCACCAAACAATGTCTCTGGACGGGTCGTTGCTATAGTAAGAAAATCAGGACTACACGAGGAAAGATCAAATCAGCCCTTTCCAAAAGTAGAGCGAAGATAATCACTACCCTTCCAAGATTAATTTACTAGCACAGGTGATAGTTAACTACTGCCGAAGCAACTCCTATGAGCCTAAAGTTGTGTTCCAAGTTTTAATGATCATACCACAAAATCTAAAGCCTCGGTACTTTTCAAACTATATAACATGCTTCAGTGAATTCTTTAAAGAGCAGAGAATGCTGAAATTGAAGTACGAGGAAGTCGTCTTTTCACATAATTTGGCTATATATATAAGGGTCCATAAATGACAGAAAAAAAAGGGAAAGTAAGGAGGTACTGGTAACTGGACAGTACCTTCCAGCTACACGGTATTTAATATGGTATAGAAATCCAGGTTCCTCTGAATATTCTACTTCCTGGTAAGAAAAAGCCAGTTACTTATAGAAAGAAAAAAAGTAAAATCAAACAACAGAAGTTGAGATAAGATACACCACACACCAAGTCTGAAACAGCAGTCTGTAAATTAGGGGACCAGTTGACCATGTATGATCCTGGAAAACATTAAACCAAAAACACCAAACTTCGTATGAGTACAGCACATCACTACTTACAGCTACGACAAGAGAAACCAAAATATGTAATAGCTTACCTTGGTATATCAACCCTTTCTCATGAAGCTTCACAAAAGCCTCGATCACAGCTCCTAATTCAGAGTAAAGAAGAGTGAAAAAATATACAGAATGAAATTCAAGATATAAGAGTAGCGAGAAACTTTCAGAGCCACTTTGAAACTGCATAATATTTTATAACCACTATCTAGAAGATATGGAAACTATAGAAAGACTTACGACTCAATTGCTCATCAAGAGTGAAGCGCTCTCTACTCCAATCACAAGAAGCACCCAGTCTCTTAATCTGATTTGTGATGGTTCCACCATACCTGAAAAAAAAAAACACAAACTATAATTTCAGCCATAACCATTAACATATAAGATACAAATACAGTTGACTCTATCTTTTAATGAAAGCATCGCTTTTGAAATAATAGTACAAGACCATCGCATTATTCAATCAAAAGAAAGGTACATGTAGCTTCTCCTGCTTAAATATTGCATATTTTGCAGTTCTATAACTTATGACTTGTTCGAAGAATGAAACAGTGCCAGAGTATAATACGAACTTTTTTTTAACAGATTTTTGAAGTAAGTTACGCAGTGGTTAGAGAAACATACTTCTCCTTCCATTCCCAGACTCTTTTGGTAAACTCATCTCTACCTAAATCCACTCTCTTAATCCCTTCTGATGCTAGCATCTTTTCAACCACCAACTGTAAGGAAATATTGTAGCTTCAGTAATATACATCAGAAACATTTTAGTAACGAGAATGTGGGAGATATGTGTATGGACCAGATCAGTGGAGTGGGATGAAGAAAGATGTATAAATCAAAGTGAGCTCAAAACAACACGCAAACACTAACAGAATTACCATACAAAACTTGAAATTTAAATGGGGAAATGAACCTGAGTGGCAATACCAGCATGATCAGTCCCTGGAAGCCAAAGCGTTGGTCTCCCTCTCATCCTATTGTATCGAACCATTATATCCTGTATGAACAAAAGCGATGAGAATAGCAGAAACATAGCCTAAAACAGCCAATGCACACAAAAATCATGGCATTACTAAAGAATCGATCACGCAAATCAATTGAACATAAACTGAATACCCTAACAAACTGCAAATACATATATCTAAAGAAAAAAGCAAAACAAGAGCTAAAGCTTAAACGAAAAAACAGGAACATAAAAATGAATACCCAAAATGAATGTCAATTATCTCAATTATGGATTCCACAACCTCAAGAGTGACAAACATCGCATGGCCCATGTGGAGAGAGCCAGTGACATTAGGAGGTGGCATTGGTATCACAAAAGGTCTGCCTCCTCCTTGCTCGAAACTTGGTTTGAAGTACCCTTGCGACTCCCACCTAAAACCCCCCATAGAATCATCAGAACCAAACACAAACTAAAGCCTTATACTTTTTAACATGGCCACATCTTTTAAGCAAAAAAAAATAATAATAATACATGGCCACATCCAAAACTCATAAAACTCAAACAAATGAGCATAAAGTTTTTTACCATTTGTATATTTTCTCTTCTGATGCAAAATCAAAGCTCTTAGATGTCTCAGGAGAAGTAAAGACATTACTTCCTGAAGCAGCAACTAAAAAGAGAAGAAGAAGATGAAATTCAAATTCAAATTCAAATTCAAATTAAATAATGATAAAGGTTTCGACTTTCAATGCAAACAAGCAGAGCGAAGAACGTACCACATAGGGAGAATCTACGTTTCGAGAAAGATGAACTCAAGCGGGACGGAGAAACTAGTTGACGGCGTCGGTGAGTGAAAAACAGAGTGTTGAGACGGTGAGGAGAACAGGGAGACAAAAGGGTAGTAGTTGTAGTAGTATTAGTGGGTAGAGAGAAAGCTGTCTGGAGGAGAATCATGGCAGAAGCCCCCGAGAAAATCTGCGGGGCGAGAGAAAGTTTTTGAATTTCCCAGGAAAAAAAGGATAAGCCGCTGAAGAAGGGAAGAAAGTCAGTGAAACAGAGGATTAGATGACGGAAGGGCAATTCTGTAATTGTCTCTGTTCTTGGTGTTGTTACTTTGCGTTAAATATTTTTGCTCACAGTAAAAGTTATCACTGTGTGGGTTTTTACTAGAGTAGAGTTTTTCATTTACTGTATAGTCTCTGTTTATTGCTGTTCTTGTGGTATAATGACTTGCCGTTATATAACTTTGCTCAAGGAACTGTTTACTATTGATACTTACTGTTAACAACATTTGAGGAAGATTTGATTATTATTATTATTATTGTTTTTACATGTACTAGAAAGAAGGCAAAGAAGATGATAGATCCCTTGACTTGGAGGCCAACATCTATATCTCTTACTCTTTAACAGTTTAACCCATCACCTTTGGTCTCCAACCAGCAATTACATCCTCTGTTTGCGCCTCTGTTTTCTTGAATGAATCCCTCGAGAACACATTCTGTAACAAAGCCATCATCATCAGTGTGTGGTTAGTAGTTAGACAGAATGAAAAGATATTGATCGCAAGAGGATTTAAAAGAAAGTTTATTACCTCCATGTAGGATTTGAGGGAAGAAAGTGAATCTGGAACAGACCAGTTCTTGAAATGTCCAAGTGCAATCTTCATGTGGTATAACTTTGGTGCCAAGGATAAGTCTGCTGCTGAAATCTTCTCTCCGTTTATGTAAGGTCCCTTCAGAGTAAGGAAGAAAAGAACGTTCCCAAGTTCACAAATATGTAACAATAGAATCGAAGACTAATTAATGGAAGAGATAACAATAAAGAGCTTACGTTTTCTTTGAGATAATCGTTGAATGCACTAAGCTCATCCAGTAAAACTTGCTCAGTTCCATCTTTTGGATCTTTGCTCTTGAGAAAACCGATAAACGTGGAGAAGATCTTCGACCCACTGCAGACATAAGTCAAGAGTTCTTAAGTGGAAGATACAGCCAAGAAGAAAAATATTAGGTACACAACATAGGTAGGGACTGAGAAATTAATTACACTGAAGCCTTTTCGGGTGGGGTTGCAAGAGGAGGCTCAGGGTACTTGTCTTCCAAAGACTGTGTTATAACATCAGAATCCGGAACCCATTTCTCATCAAACTTCACAACCGGGACTTTACCTTCTGCACTAATTTTCAAGAACCTGCAAACATTAAACAAGGATACAACAAACACACTGAGAAAAGTAATCAAGATTCATGTGAACTTCAAAAACTTAAAAAATGAGTCTCAAAGCACACTCACCACTCAGGCTTGTTACTCAAATCCACCATCTTCATGTCATAAGGTACATGCTTCTCCTCCATAGTCAGCAACACCCTTTGGCAAAAAGGGCCTACCAACAAGAAAATTATAATGCATATACTCAACTCGTAAAGTAAAAAATTAATTACCCTCAAAACTTAGACACAAGTTTGTATTTTTATATACATTTCTAAACTAAGAAACAGCCTAAGGACAAGTTAAGTTAAACACAAAAATGCTTTAAGTATCTATCTATCTGCAAGGGACACTTAAGCGAACCATGAATAAAGATAGCAGCAGCTTTATCATCTACTACATTTCAAAGTTTCAGTCAAGAGAGAAAGAGAGAGAGGGCTAACAGTCTCCGAGCTTGTTGGGTGTGGTGATGGAAGCTTTGACGCAGATTTCGAGAGGAGCAGCCGCCATAGCCATCGTCCCGAACCGGGCGGTCCTTCTCGGTTTAGTCAAACCGCATCGCTTGATAAATCCGGCGCGGTTGACCGACGCCGATAGAACACCGGCGGTGGTGCTTGGTTGAAACCTAAGGCTTATCATATTTTGTTGTTGTCTCTGTTCTTGTTAATTTTCCGACAGTTCTTTTTATTCAGACCGTCACATAATCTGGAGAACACTCAGTGGCTATGTTGACTGACACGTGGCGACTTAAAATATCACGTAACGACCGATATGGGCCTCACTTTCTTCAACTCTAAGCCCACTTTGTTTTAGTCGTCGTAGCCCAATACTCTTTAACGATCCATTTTAGTAGTAGTTTGTAAAGTCTACCAAACAATTATATTCATGATGAGCAAGAGTGCAAGTAATCATCCAATATTTTATTTTCGAATTATAATTTCTGAAGATTAATCATCAACTAAAATACAACTCAAGACATAAGAAGCTCATATATATGAAAACCATAAAACCTTAAACAATAAAGATAATTATTTAAATAACTAATAAAATAAATAATAAATATTTAGAAACATCTTAAATATTTATCTACATCAAATGACAAAGCAAGACAGAACCTTCTGAAACAAAGGCGATGAGGATGAAAACACGTTTGCCAAAGGTCTAGACGTACAGACGAAGTGCTTTGGTAAGAACCCATTCCACGAAATCCAACACAGCAAGCAAGTCTATAAACATCGGAGGAACTTTGGAATATACCCAGACGAAAGGATTCACAGCCAAAGTAAAAAAACACGTGGCCACGTGAGATAAGACAGTAAGAACTGGAAGCATCGGAGGAACTTTGGAATAGACCTAGAGAAAAGGACTCGTAACCAAAGAAGAAAAAACAGGTCACGTCTTATCGCAAATGAACGCATCTAATCTATTAAAACAGAGTCCTATTTAAAATTACCATGGCATATTTTAAGTTTGGACCTATTAAACATGTTATGTCTAAATATAAAAATACTTTTTATATGGTAACCAGTATACTCAAATTAAACCAACTAATATCCCATCCTTCACAAAAATAATTATAAACTATAACAAAAATTCGTCGTCCTTCACGAAGACATGTATACAATTTTCCAGCAAAAGAAGCTGGCTTAACTCTCTGGTTGCTTCTCTCTTTCTACTAGATATTTCTTGAGAAAAGTGTTATCCTTTTTATAGCAACGATCTTTTGTGTATTTCTTGTGGTTTAAACCAGTTGGACTGGTGCGATATACTTTTAGGGTTATGGGTTAGGGGTATCTGTAACTACACCGGAAGACATACTTGAATCTCTTCTATAAAACAGAAACAATTGATGACTGGGCACCGGAAGATCATCAATCAATCAGCTCAAAGCTGAAACCTAATATATCTGGGTTTGATTCCAAATCCAAACTAAAAATCTTGGCAAAAGTTTAATTTAGTTCTTAGATTTTCGTTGATTTGATAGATTACAAAGGATTAGCGAGAAGTTTTTGTGTGCGTATGTATTTAATGCCACTACCTATGTCACTAATTCAGATCATAAGCGATTCATATGAGTTAATGTTGGTCATAATTTGCTCATTCCAGAGCAAGCCACACGTTCATGGGATAAAGAAGGAGCATAAAGTGAGAATAGTTCGACTGAGAAATATAAACCAAAGAATTTATGGAGATATACTTGTGAAAATTGCAGAGATGGTGAATCTCAACAAAATAATAGAGAAGGATTCATTTGTGAGGTCGAAAGAGAATAATAGTGAAGTGCAAGATCTTGACACTGCTGTTGCGGTAAAAACAAAAGAAAGTAGAAGCAATAAAAAACCAACTAGAAAAGTGTCCATGGAGAGTAATAAAGAAGACTCAAGGGAATATCAAGGTTCTAATACTAAGCTAGATACAAGCGGCAATCATTCTTCTAATTCCATATAATTCTGATAGAGCAAAAACTATTGGGTCCAATCACAAAAGCACTGGTGTTTACTTTCAGACATCACTTAGATTTCTTCTTGGTGCCTCTGTTTTGGAGTCCTCTGGAATTGAATTTTCCACACATAGGAGTATCAAGTAAAGGAAGCACAGCAAAACATTGCGAGTAAGTAACATGTTTCCCTCTCATTTTCGCTGAGTTTCTGCATTGTCTCTTTTATACATTTTTTAGCATGTGAAAATGTTTTATCGATCCTATATCTTTTTTGAAGAAGGATTAATCCTATATCTTCGTATTATGTTTATATACTGCTTAAGTAACAGGTTCTGTACTTGTGAATAACGAAGTTGTATTTGGTAGGATGGCGACTGAGAATAAATTTTTTTTAATGTGAATAAACTACTTCTAATATATTCATTCGCGGATGAATTCTTTCCTAACTTCTCGTGTATAATTTGAGAACATTCTATTAAACCATCAAGATTATGAATATAATTTTCCAACACTATCATATCTACATGAGTAAAAATTGTTTTATGGGCTGCTCATAATAAATGAAAACACATCATATACTATGAAACTCAGATTATATATGTGGTATGTGGACACTAAGTCCATACTATCCCATAAAATCCAAATAATCCAAAATATAAGTTATTGAATACACAACTTACATTATATCACATAAGGTATGAAATTAACAGATATTTTCTGTTTGGTTCATAACTTTGAGATATACTGATTCCCTAAACATATTTAACAAATAAAGTAAAAGCAGAAAATGTAACAAAAAGCATAACTAGCTAAGTCAGAACCGAGATCGAAATTTATTTATCCATATTCGAACTCAAATTTTTATAGAGTTCCTTATATTGTTATTTGAACCAAACTAAAAACTAAAATAACTAAACTCAAATTCATAATAAATGAACAATTATTATATTTTTTGAACCAAAATCCACAACCGAACCGAAACCAGAGTGAAAAATAAATTTGGATGGGAACTGAAAAATTTATCAAATCATAAAATCATAGTTTAAAAACATAATTATAAACAATTCCGCGCAACCGCGCGGGTCAGAATCTAGTATAGATTTATAACAAGTTAATATCAACATACATTTGTGTGCATTCTCCATTTGGCAAATTGGAGGGATTGTTTTTAGGAAGGAACGAACGAAAAAATACAACACTATAAATTGAGTCTATAATTATAAAGTTCTCATAAAATAAGAGAAATGGAGTTGAATCGGAAAAAGGTATTTTGATATAATAAACTTTGCTTTTGGTGATTGGCTTATTCTTAATCCACCAATCAGTTGGACCATCATGACATCATCCATTTTTCATTAAAATTAGTGTAATATACTGGTAAATGCGTAACGAAGAAAATCATTGGGAATTTAAATTCTGTCATATAAATTCCACTTTTTGAGATTCTTGAAGCCAAGAATTTCACCAGGCCTTACAGAATCTCAAACTAATCAGTAATTTTACATTGTGTTGAACTCTTGGTCCTCTGCTTCTTCGGTCATCTTTGCAAACCGTCCATTGATCCTCGGTTTTCTCTCTGCATATGCCTTCCTTGAAGCATATCTTATTGTTTTCTCAAACTTTCTCCTCTTCCATCTTATTACAAATATTCTCAACAAGAAACATATTAGCTTGTACTGTACGATGCTGGTTATGTGGTCGAGTTACCTCGCATGATTCTATACAAATTGGACTATGTACAACTCAGAAACAAGTTTGATATCTCTGAAGTTTCTTCCTATGATGAAATCTTATTGTGATACTGATGTAAATATCTTTGGAAGTTGTTTGATACCTCGGCCAGCAAACCAGTTCCAAAGATATTTACATCAATATCACAGTAAGGCCTCGTTATAGGAAGAAGCTCCACGGATATCAAACTTGTTTCAAAGTTTTACATCGCCTAATTTGTGAAGAATACTGTGAGGTTACTCGACCGTATAGTATAAAACGATTTTGACTGAAAACACACGAGAATAATCCACACATATATAACCATTTTAAAAAGACCGAAATGGAATTTGAGATTTTGTTTTACTTTTATTTGACTACTAAGTAGAATATATTTTAAAAAGATTTTGGTTAAAAATAGAGGATATTATATTAAAAAAAAATCGTTGACTTCCCACAATAAGATATATACATTCATAATCCTTGACAACGGCAACATTTTTATGTTATCAAATGGAAAATAATATTTTTTTTAAATGAATTATCCCGAAGTTCCACCAAATCAAAATTATATTAAATTTTGGTCAAAACATGAGTTAACTATTTGAGGTTAAAGGAAATATTACATTTTGATATAAAGAGTATCAATATTATTTTCCATCATATTTGACAAAAAAAAAATTTACAAGTACCGGTAGCAATAGCACTCAAGGGAAAAGCTAGAAATTTTCTTAGTGGGTGCATAATTCATAAGGGAAAAACTAAAAGGTATAGTATGTGTTGTACTCTGGATGTTTATGGGTGCAGATAATGCTTAAACGATCTTAACAAGATGGAATCTACTGTTTTAAATTTATGGGTGCACATACACCCACAACTGCCTTAGTGGATTCGCCCCTGTTCTGATTAAAGTGAAGCAACTTTTCTGATTATTATAAACTTCTAGTCAAAGTTTAATGTACTCACTGAAGAGCCACGTGTGATATTCTCTTTCTTGTGGCGCAAGTGTTCTCTTGTTTCTTCAAGTTGAAGTGGAACAACTCTATCTCCACCGTAATTTGTCTGTGGTACGGTGCAGTCTTGCTTATGTTGAGGTTGATTGTATTGACTGGTGAATTTGTAGTCCATACTCGAGTTGTAATCAGCAAGGTCTAGGTAGTCATCACTAAACAACAACTCATTGTTCTGGTTGTTGTTGTTGTGATTGTCACTGTTTTCAGGGAACAACCATGACGCCGTCTCTTTGGTATCCCCTCTTCTTGAACTAACACCAGTCTCTTCTCTGGCTCGGTCATTGTTGTGTGGTGAGTAGTGGCCATGGAGCTGCAAGAGTTTCCAGTTATAGGCACAATTGAACCTCTGAATCACAAGTTGTGCATAGAGACACATCATCTGCTTCACACATAAAGTGGACTGACAAGTGGCGAGTTTAAGATGTCATGTAACGACCAATATGGGCCTTACTTTCTTCATTTCTTAACCCATTTTGTTTTAGTCGTTGTAGCCCAGTACTCTTTGTAACACAGACATTTATTCATTTAACGATACATTTTAAAGTCTGCCATACAATTATTTTCATGATGTGTAACAGTGCAAGTAATCCAATATTTTATTTTCGACTTATTTTTGGTTCACCAACCAATATGACAATGTTATTTCATGTTTGATATTTTTTTTTAAAAAAGAAACAAAATCTTGTTAAAGTATATTATGTTTTGAAAATAAAAATAATAATAGTTACAAAAAATAAAAAAAATCTTAAAAAAATATTTTATCATTATATTATGTTCTTAAAATAAAAAGATAAAAATAAAATAAAAACAGTAATAATTGCAAAAAAAAACAATTGAAAAAAATCTTTTAATATATCGTTAAAATGAAAAGAAAATATTGTTACATTACATTATGTTTTTAAAATAAAAAGATAAAAATAAATAAAAACAATATAATTGGTTAGTATTAATTTTTTGATTTGATGTTTAAGATTTTTCTAAAGGGTTTATGATTTACCCAAGAGTTTATGGTTTAGGATTAGGGTTTAGAGTTTATGATTAGGGTTTAGAATTTAGTGTTTTAGTGTTAAAATATTTGTTTTAAATAATTTTTCGTGTTTTGTAAATATTAATATTTTTATTTATTTTTGTATTTTTATTTTAAAAACTTAATATAGCTTAACAATATATTATTTCATTTTTTAAAAAAGATATCAAATACGAAATAACATCATCCCATTGGTTGGTGAACCTCTTGGTGAACCTAGAGGTTCACCATAGAGGGTGAACTCAAGAATAACTCTTTATTTTGGAATTATAAGTTTTGAAGATTAATATCTTTTGCAAACCATCACTATACTAAATGTACTTTGTATGATTCATCACTAAATATTATTTTATTTAACCATAACTGTGTCTTTTCTATATTTGAAACTGTGATCACGATCAATTAAGCTGCCATTATTAGGTACTTATTTTTAATTTTGAAATTAATAATTATTATGACGAACATAAGCTCGTCGTAGTCTTGATTACAAATGCATTCTATCCATAATAAAAACATAGACGATATAATTTAAAGCACTTTGAACCATTGGCTCGCGGGGTCACAAGAAGCATCCATGGTCAAACACTTGCAAGGATTAGCGACGATGCTGTTGTCACGTTCATCCACATCAAGACATAGCAACGAACCATTACTTGTTTTAAACGACAAATGCATGTGAGTAGCTGAGGTTTGTCCCAACTTAGAACATTTAGTGCCAGCTCCAAGCTTCACCTTCTGTCCAACAGCATCTGGAGCCTCGACGCACATTTTGTTACTCCAGAGAATACCTTCACTAGGTTTAAAGGTCGACGGCTCGGCTTTACGGCATTGTTCCAATCGAAGTGTGGGTAAGTTTTGTGAGAGATTATTGGTGACGCAAAGGCCGGTTGTTGGGTGGAAGAGAAGCTTTTTGGATTCTAAACCGGGTCCTGCATATATATACAAAGTTTTATATTTAGACTCCAAAATATTCATGTTCATCATAAATATTATGGAAATTCTGTCAAATATACATTTTTAAGTTTTTATCCCAAAAATAAACCTCAAAAATTAAAATGACCAAAATGATATTTTTTTATTTGAAAATTCTAATTTTTTTTGTTTTTTAAAAGTTGAAATCCTATCCTCCAAAACTCTACTGGTCAACTCTAAACAAAAATGTCTATAATTAATTAACCAAAAAGGTATAAATGTATATTTACTTATTTTTGGTAAAACATTTAAGTCTATTTCTATCATTTTTATTTTTAAGGTGTATATTTGTGACAAAAAAAAATTTAGGTCTATCATAGGAATTTTCCTAAAAATTATTTGAACATTCATGGGTCTTGATATTGCACTTACACAATACTTGTATGGCAATTAAATTTTTTAGAGTCCGGTTAGGGGAAATTGTATTTTAGACTAGTGGTACGATAAAGATATTATAGGGGCAATATGTGTGTCTATACTCTATATGATCCAAAAAAAAATATTTACCAGAAGAGGTATCTATGCTAAGATCGAAACCTAAACATTTTATGTCTATGCTTATTAATTTAAGAAAATAAAATATAAATTAATAGAAGTCAGGATATGTATCTCTTAGGTCAAATTCAGGATTATCTTCCAAATTTTGAGTTGTAATTTTTAATCCAACATTATAGATGATTGAATTCATTTTTCACGATTATTGGGTTATTATTATAGTTTTTTAAACTCCAAAATCGCAATTTATGCCACTTTTCTTTCTAATAAATATATAGATAGGGAAAAAGAAGTCTGACCTCTAACTGGAAGTTGAATTCCAGAGAGTTTCTGCAAGTAAGTAGAGTTGGCAACTTCTTTCCAATTAGCATCCAAAACGCCAAAAGTCTCAACCATATGTTTTTGACCGGTTCTCAAATAATAATCTCCGGTTAATGCCCAAACCGCCCAATCCAAATCATTCTCCGCGGCCCAAGCCACCAAACAATTCATATACCGGTTTCCGTTAACGTCACCGCTTCTCAGGTTAGCCCCAAACTCAGTCAAGAACAAAGGAAAGCCTCTCCCCATCAAGAATCCTCCGTGATGTGTAACTTTCTCAATAATCTTTGCGCAAAAATCGTTAGAGTTGTGCTTTCCCCACGAGTCTCGACCGTCGGAGAAGCTGTACCAATGTTGCTCGAAAACAAGCTTGTTCGTGAAGCTGACGTTGAAGAATCGGTCACGGAGGAAAGAGAGGTTTGTGTCGTAGTCTATGCCGGAGAGGATAACTAGTACGTTAGGGTTTGCTGCGTGTACTGCTTCTCCTCCTTTTGGCATGTACCTTCACGTAACCATTTATAATTTATTACGCATGCATGCATGCATGTACTTGTTTTTCTTACATATATGTGATTTTTGACATTGTATAGGTGAATCCTAGCTTATGTCCGTACGTACTTTTATGAATTCTGTCCAGACTCTCTAAAGAAAATAGTAAATTTAGCAATTTTTTTAAAAAAAAAGATGACCTAGTGAAAATTGGAAATAATTCAAGGTCCAAACATACGTTATTTTCGATTATTAGAATATCGATAAATATTTTTTTTTCTATAAATAGTTTTAAATAGTCATTTTTCAAACATTTTTCATGTATTGCATGCAATTGGTTATATTCTAAATGAAATATAAGTAATTTGAAATGCATACCTGAACCAGAGGTCAGGGAAATCTCTGGTACCACGTGGTTCGTTCCTAAGGCTCATGCCAACGACATTAGTGACATTGCGGAAAAGAGTAGCCATCTTGCTCAATCCCTTGGTCCAGACGGCAGGATCAAAGTTAGGGTATTCGAAGAAAGCGTCGAGATCGTTATCGCTGCAACACCAGCCTGGTGTTGTCAAGTGGTTGTCTAGTATCACCATCACTCCGTTTTGTCCAAGGTTCGATACCACTTCCTGATAACAAAATAAAAAATAAAATAAACATATCTATATATATATATATAGAGAGAGAGCTCTATTATGTTGAGAATTCCACAAGATTTTCTTCATTTACTTTGGTTTGCTTTTGTTATTGTTTTTAATAAGTTAATTTTGCTACTGAAACACATTAAAAACCGGTTTATTTTGGATCGATTAAACCAATGACATACCACTAGCTAATTTTACCTGGAATGCATTGAATAAGGGGAGGTTAAGAATTTTGGGGTTGTGAGTTTGAATGCCAAGAACATCATCAAACAAATTCAAGCTTTCAAAAGACTGTTTGACGGTAACATTACGAGCCAATGTGTCATTAGTCATCAAATCAAGAGGCCAAGTGAGCCTAACGCAGTTAAATCCCATTGAGACAATCTTCTTGGAGATGTAGTCTAATGGTTGTTTGCTTAGCCCTTCAGCCACCGTGGGCTTTAGATGCGCCGGCCAGTTCACGCAGGCTAGCTTAACCCTTTGGCCTTTATCGTCCACGATCCATCGAGATTTTGTGGAGAGAGGATAGCTTGTGGTTAGCTTTGGAATCCAAGAAATGAACAAGAAGAGGAAGAGACACAAGTCGATGGATCTAGTCATTTTTGTTGTTGTGTGTTTCTTTTGTTTTTGATTTTGATTATCTTGAATTTGAATTTGATTTGTAATATATACTGCAAAGAAGTTGGTTTAGTTTCTGGTTGTTGGCAGATTATACGTGTTTATGGTTAATGATTATTTTTTGTTTCCAACAAAAGATAAGAGGAAAAAAAACAAAACAACAATCGACAGTGCGTGATGTTAACAGATTATGAATTGTATATTGCTAGAGAATTTTCATTTACTTCTAAAAAGCTATAAGACTTTGATATATTGCATTATACTATACAAAAATAATATTCTATTTATATACTTCTTTTAGACAAAAAAGAAGTAACCATATTTTGCTCTTCTAATTTCTATTGATCTTTTCGTTCTGTTATAACAACAAAAATGTAAAACAACTTGAACATAAATTTTGTTAACAAAAAAACTTGAACATATTATTGGTTAACAAAAAAACTTGAACCTATTATTGGTAAACCAAAAAACTTGAACATAATACTAGAAATATACTGTATTTGGTTTATGGGAATGCGATATTATATCATAGTCATATGGAGATCAAACCATGTTACAAATTTTATAAGATATATATAATCATATCATTAATGCTGCTGCATATACGTTTCAAACTCTTCTAGCTTTGAAAGTTCCTAGTGTAAGAAGAAGATTTATATACGACAGCGATCTTCCATTTATTATATGTGAATATCATCTCCCCTGATTAAGGAAATTATTGTTAATATGTAATTTTCTCTCCAAGTCTCGGGTCTGTATATAACACTAGATGTCAATTGACGTTAATGATATGTAATGGTTAGTTGAAAATGATTAGTTGATTACTTGTCTAGATTGAGATCTCGCCTGTGTTCATAATAATTCTACTCTTAGTATTATGAAGAATTCGAAAACTTTAGGAATCTCACATAAGAAGAGAAATTCGAAAACTCCAAACACACTATAAGCTTACAATGGAAGTATTGAGACTATTTCTTAGGAACCAAAGGCCACTCTTTGCACATAATCAGGACGTCTTTTTGAAGGCATGCGAATAAGTCCAGCAATCTGAAGCTCCATTACAGCTCTGCAAAATCTAGCTCTGTTGAAACACACAATTGTTAAGGATGAACCTTTATGTAAATGCTCTAGTGTTACTACCTAAGTGTTACCACCAATTTTACTAATCTTGTTTCCACTTCCTGCTCTCTTTTAAATAACTAATAGTGAGAGCTACGTTTCGAAAGACAATCTGAATACCAAAAAAGGATACTGAATTGAAGCTTCAGCAGGTTGTTCCGGTTCTGGTTCTTCGCATCTATCTTTCCGTTTCTTGGATTTTGAACATGTCTTTGATTTTAGTTTTGCTTTGCTATTCCGGGGAATAAGTATCGTCTTGAAAGATTGGTACCAGTCATGGAGGTTAATAACATCAGCGTGCTCTTGCGCCAGCGTGTACCTGGTTAATCAATTATCACAAACGTTTTCGATGTAACACAGACATTGGGACAAAAGATAATGTGTGCACATGTAGTGAAAGGAAGACTCACAAAATCGATGTATCGTGCATGGAAGGCAATAGACTTGTGCCTCTTTGGCTACAGCACATACAGTGGAGTATATTGTAAGATTCCAGTAGATCTGATTGGATCCTGCCTCTCGGGTCTCCAAGCAATGCCTAAATCGGATAATAAACATGAGATAAAGGGGAAAAAGAGAGAACGAAATCCATACGTAATGTCTTAAGAATCAAGAGAAACGACAAAATAACATCGAATAAATGATGCTCAGACTCTCTTAGAACTGATCCTGTAACTGGTTTGCTTTAAGTTGATGACAATGATGCAACAGGAGCAGCATATAGTAATCGATTAACTATTACAAAAAACTTTCAAGTAATAAAAGTATAAGTGAATCCAAGAGGAATTAGAGTGCTGAAGACTTACAGATTGAAGTTTATCGACATTCTTGTAACATAAAATTTCATTGAAAGGAACAGTCTCAACTGGCTTCATATATTCCCTGTCCCATACAAAAAGATCTATGTTTAGTCCAGAAGACGCATATAAAACAACTTAGGTGACTCCGTGACTACAGTTTTAAGAACGGCAGTTAAACCAAGAGCAAGTAGAGTTCGATTACACGTACAGAACAACTTAGCATGAATTCAAAAACAAGTTGTTTCATCGGAGGTAAAGAGAATCCGTGACAAAGTTCACCTTAGCATGAATTCTATGATTGCGGAAACCTTATCAGTCATGGCTTTAAGCTCCTTTTCAAGCTTTGAATGGCTCCGGGATGCATGCTTTCTGTCGCATCAAAGTGAAACTTTTTTTTAGTGTACATGGTTAATTCCAAACAGATCTACTATAGAAAAGCCGGAAATGGAAAAATGAGAAATTTCTCTGAACTCATGTATGGTGTTTAGATTAAATAATCAGCAATATTCAGAGATTTACTTTGGGCTGGAAGGAAGTCCCGGTCTCTGACCAGCTGCTTCCACATTTCTCATGAGCGGATGCAATTCCATTACTTTGTCACTGATCTAACAGTACAGAACAAACAATCAAGTAACATCTTTCAGATATCCAAAAAATTCCGAGAGTTGAACTTTTACACAATCATTTATGCGACATCTCTAATTCAAGCAAAAAGTTTCAGATGAACAGATTACAAGATGAAAAATCCTAAACATGGAGACAGATTAAGAAGCTCTAACTCAAAGGAAATGAAAGAGACACTAACACTAACACGAAATAATTGCTAAGGACAAACGAAATTAAAAAAACTCATACAGAACATGCAAGTCAAGAGCAATGGTAATTTAATGATTACCTCACTGAACTCCGCAGTCAGACTTTCCCAGCTTTTCAACAAGCTAGACAACTGTGCAGGTGAAAAATCCCTGAAGAGAAATTTTGCATTCAAGAGCTTCAGTACTATTGAACAAAGCCTTGTAGAGATAACACAAGCTCTCAACGACACAATATTTTTCAGGCTTAATCACTCGAGACCACGTAAATTTTATTAACTGATCGAACATGATTTACCAAACTGATCCTTAAAATCTTCTTAAGCAAATTTGGCAACAGAATAAGTAGAAAAAGATGTCATCTGAACAGATCCATAATTAAAATTATGTGTTATCCATAAGTTTAGAAGAATACTTGGCTAATATTGTGTGAGGGGAAAAATTCACGCTTCCTACTTACAGTACAACTCACCTGAGCTTGCGCAGAACCCGTCTGATAACACTATTCCGTCCTGAAACGTGACTCTGACTGTTGAGGCTTGCTGAAGGTGAAAAGTATTTCAAGTAACGTGCTTCTGGGTCAAGTGTCTCACAGAATACGTCTATCAATCGAATTTTATCAAACTTCCCCGCTTCGTATATGCACTACAAAGAAGTATACAAAGAATCTGTTAATGTAAGACTATCAAGTAGCTTTTCATATGATCATGAACCGTATAAAAAGAGAGCCGACTCACCAAAACTACTATGCTCCAAGGCTTAGGCATCCTTTGCAAGTCCAACAAAAACTGAGGCAGCATTTCACAAGTACTCCGAGTAATTTTATTCCTAGGCAGATAGTTATGAACAGAAATTAGTGCATTCATTTTTCTACTCACAAGCTCCAACAAGGATGCCATAGAAGTCCAACACCAGTAACCTGCCCAACAATTCTTCCAATATACGACCAGGAATAAAATAATAACAGATGGTGAATTCTTTGGGATACCTCGTCACAGATGGCAAGTCAAAAGCATGCTTCATTGTTGCTTCTGTCAATAGCCCAGTACCTTCACCTGGCGGCTTCACGGGAAAAAAGAAGCTGCCTTAGAGAAAAGCTAGTTGCACTTTTATTATATGTGTAATTTGGAAAACATCTACTGAACTCTAGATGACAAATGAAAGGATGCGAATTGCGGAATGTACCACCAAAGATCCTCATTCGTTTCATTATGAAGAACGTAGGAAGTCTTTGAACTATCCATAGATTCTTAATATGCAAAACATGAACTAAAGTTCTTAACTATCAACTACGCTATTATAGATATGGCAGGGCCGACTTAACAAAGTAAAATATGATATCTGAGAAAGCTGAGGGTTGTTAACAAACAAATAAACAAAAAATGGACGTGGTGGACAGGTGCGATAAGCATACCTGATTATCTTGACAAAAGTGCTCAAGCATGATGCTTAAAGGCTCTAATGAGAAATGCTGAAGACAAGCTATCTGACAAGGAATGCATAACCAAATGGAAAAAGGGTTAGCAGCCCGAAACAAGATGAAACCTAGGATAAGCATAAAGGATAGAGCTGAAAACCTTGAGAGTTTTAACAAATGATGTCAGCGTTCCATCTTGACTCAAAAAGTAACTTCTCATATAAAGTGCCACCTTATGGCTAACGGTGAACCCAGAACATGGCTTTAGAAAAACAGCCTCGAGAACTGCATCCATACGTTCGGCCGGAGAACTCAGGGTGAACCTAGTGGCACAAATTCTCTGCAGCGCGTTCGCTGATAGTATCTTTCTAGGCGCATCGTGTGCTGTGGACACCCCCATTATTAAAAAAACTGGAACTTTGACTGCCCATTCACTGAAGAGAAAAACAACGGAAGAGAGGGTCTTTTAATATGGCAAGGACTAAGTTGAAATAAATAAAAAACCTTATAGTCCATTCAGCAGATAAACCTAACATAGTACCATAAAGATATCCTAATACCTCAATATAAGGATTAACTCTGACAAAACAGACCCAGAACATCTCTCTGTATCATCCACAATTATAACCACGGGATTATTATGGTTTCCGTTTTCTCTGTACCACGATGCGAGAATGGTTACATCAGCCACCTAGTAAAAAAATTCGCAGTTAAGAAGAAAGCAAGGGACTCAGTCTCAGTGCCAGGTACACTAATTGTGCAAGAAGGCTACAAAGCTAAATGATATGTAAGGCTATAGAGAATTACTAACATCCACGGTTGGCATCACAAACTGGCGCAACAAACCTCTAAGACAACCTCCTACACCATTCTTGGTAGAGAAGTCCATGGATGAAAGCTTACCCACATGACATCCTTGAGATTTCAAATGCAAACCAAGATCTTCAAATGTCAGTAAATCATCAACCATTTCCAGATTCCCTGACATCACAATATAAGATTCCTATATAAGAATACGCAAAGTAATAGTATCTAGTTACTTGTAAAGTTAATGGAAGTTCAGTAGCCCATCAATGCATGATCCAACCGTTAAATGGTTTCTTAGGAATGTAAAAAATTCGAACACACTAGCAGATACACCTCGTAGGGTCGGATTGGCTCACAAATTTTTAGAGTATATATACATAGACATAAGCCCCCAAATTGTGGGAAAAAAATTATCAATTTTTTTTTTTTAATTAAATGGTAAAAAAAAGACTAATCTTAAGGGACTTACTGGTAAGGACCAAAGCAGTAAACAACTGCTTGGAAGAAGGCTGAGATAAAACAGGATAAGACCGAACAGCTTCTGATAAACTCAATGCTCCACATGATCTGATCGATTCAAATGATTCACATATCCAATCATGAACCCCACTAAACACTTTGGAGTGTGAATCTCTCAGAACATCCTTCCAAACAAATACAAGGTGTTAAAAACACACACACACACTGAACGAAATTTATAGAGAGAAAACAAACAAACAAACAAAAAACAAATTAAAACCGACTTGGATTGTTTTGTCGATTTTCGACCAAACAGTCTCGAAGACTTTCAAACGCAGCGTTGAGAAATATTCTCCGTCTTCCACTTCCGTACTTTCGATCTCAGACTTCTTAGCGAGTTTAGGTGCAGGTGAATCGATCCTCCGTTTAGCCCTCACCGTACCAGTTGATTTCTTCCCAGACGAAGCCTTGTGGAGAACAAAAAACGGCTGCCCATATAAAAACAGACACGTGTCAAAAGCATCACCAGAACGAAAACAATTTGTGTATCTTTCTCGCTTCAGTGAAGAAGAGTATGAATTGAATAGAGAGTGGACCCGAATATCATTCTCTGCTGCGGCGGCGTTTGAATTGGATGAATCAGTGGTTGAAGATGGCTGAGGATCGGCGATGGTGGTGGAAGGCGCCATTGGAGATCGTCAATGGAGAGAAATCGGATGTGGCGGTTTCTTTTAGGGTTTTTTAACGCGCCTCCTGCAACTCGTTGCGGCTCTTTTTGGCGGGAAAATGTGTGAACCGAAAACCGGATCGGACCGGGATTGTATTCGATTACTGAAATTTGAAGTATTAAATACACTTGTCATCTGCATAATCCTCAAGCGCATATTTTAATCAGTGCGTTTTTTTTCATTCAATATGAGTTCGGTGGTCGTTATAATAAGGTGTAATTAGTTGGATCATTTGATAATGATTTGACCAAATAAGATATGCTTGTTAAGATACACAATGGAATGTAAATTCAATTTTTTCTTAAGATATGCTTTGAATTGGCAAGATGTATATTTATGCCACGAAACAAAAAGCTGGTATGTAAAATTACTTTGTGGATGAGATACAAGTGAGAAAGAGATAACGGAGATTAGATTCCTTTTTTGGGCGAGACAGAGACTAGATAAAATGTAATTAAGTTACTGTAATTTTGGAGTAGTAAATAGTAGTAATACTTAATCTTATCTATTAAAAGAGAAGTACCATTTATATCTACTACAAAAAGTCATGTTGGACTATCTTATTAATATGACATATTTAATTATTTATATTAATCAATCAAATATATATAATTGGAGAAATATTTTAATAATGAATAGGATATTAGTAATAAATTTGTTGAGATAATATCTAATAAGATCTTACTAAGAAGTTTAAATATTTTTATAAAATATGTATTATTTTATTTCGTGATTAATATATATAAATATCTATATTAATGTTAATTAAAAATAAAATAATAATTTTATAATTTAGTTATATTCTATATTTTATTAAAAAATTATTTTATTCAAATAAGTAAGTAAATATCACTCACTTTTAAAACATATTAAAGTTTTTTAAATTATATAATATGATATTTTCATACAAAAAATGTAAGCATATATTTTTGTAACTCACAACAAATATATTATATATGAATATTTTTTTATTTTAAAACTTACAATAATATATTATATAAAAATAATTTATAAGATTATACAATATATAACAATAGAGTGTAAATCATATATATTTGAAAAGTTTTGTTATATTTTTATAAAATGAAAAATACCCGCACGGATGTGCGGGTTCAAAATCTAGTTACTTTTATCTAACCAGTAACCACGTTTAAAAATCTCTTAATTAGGCTTGTGCGATTAATCAAATAAAAACAAATTTAATTAATTGTATACGATTGTGCATATATATATATGTATAGGCGTGCGTATAGATCCTGAGAGATATATATCTACAGTTTTTCATCTCTGGCTCGTGTTGTTTTTGTATAATCTTAGAACAGTGAAAGGGGAGAGAGAGATTTTTAATTGTGTGAGGGAGAAAAATAGGAATCCAATCGAGAACTTAGGGTTTTGCTGGGATTTGGAGAGGGGAAACAGAGGAACGTGAAATTAGGGTTTCGTTTGTTCTTGATTGTGGGGAGAAAATAGGTGATTTTTGAGACCTGAATCATGTAATGTTAATCCCCAATTTTAGGTTTTTTTTTAGATTGATTTTATCTTTTAGAGAATCTATATGATTCCGTGTTTTATGGGTTAGATCTCCTTAGAAGAATCTGATTATGAATCTCTATGAAATCATTATTTGATGTTTGGTTTTAAGATTGAAAAATTGTTTATTTAAGCAGCTTGATCATCTCGAATGTTGTGCAGTCTTTTAATGTTGTTTGTTTTATGTGTAACAGTGTGGAAGAGCTTGATAGAGATTGGTTTGTGAGTCAGGCAAATTCATTTTATTCTCAATGGTGAGATTAGCTAAAGAAATGTAATTCACTCTGATCTTGATGATTGTTTTGTTCTCATGACTGTTCATGACAATAGCCTCTTGTGACTATGAATATCATCTACAGGCTGATAGAAGAGTTGGTAAGCGTTCAACGAATAAGAGAGGTTTTTCAAATGTGGACTCTGGAACATGTAATGTTTGTTCTGCTCCTTGTTCATCGTGCATGCATCGTAACGTAGGTGTCACAGGATCAAAATCGGATGAGTCGTCAGATGAAAATGGGCATGGAGTAGCTGGGAGCCAGTGTTCTGTAAATGAGGACAGTCTTTTGCCTTCTGTTGTGGTTAATTCAAATATCGCTGCTAGTGAGGCAAGCAACCTTGTTAATTCCAGTCATGATGCTCTCTCTGAGAATGCTGAGAGTAGGGAAAGTGTCAGACGTTCTGGGAGCATGATGAAACATAAAGTGTCTGCGTCAGTTGATGTGTTAGATCAGAGCTCTAACTGTATAGAAGGACAGCAAGATGAAGACAGAGACAGTTCAGAGCGGGGAGATTTAAATGAAAAATTAGGACCAGGGGGTAACAAAGACGGGGAGGAACAGTCTGTAGAAGGATCTACTCCTTCTGGCCAGAAAGGGAAGGATGGGAAGTCAAGTAAAAGCGCTTCTGTCAATAAATCAGATGAGTCGGTCTCATCAGTTATGTCTGAAAGCGAGAGTGAGGATGCTGAGGTGGAACATGATGTAAGTATTGCGGTTTTATCTCACATTGGGAATTAGTGATAACACCGACTTTGTTTTTCTGCTGTTGCTCTTAGTATTTTTTATTTATGTGAAAGACGTTTTGTTTTTTTTTTTGTTGAATAGGTAAAAGTTTGTGATATCTGTGGAGATGCGGGTCGTGAAGATCTGCTTGCTATTTGCAGCGGATGCAGTGATGGTGCAGAACACACGTAAGCCTGCTCTTCTACTAAAATGAAAAAACATACCAATTGCAAAATTCGAATTACAACTTGGCCGCATTGCTAGTAGTATGATTTGATTTTTGTTAGATATTTTACTTATTCATTTTGATTAATATGCCTTCCATCGATAAAAGGTATTTCTATCTTCTGTGCTAATAATATTGGGTTTGTTTTACTCAGCTATTGCATGCGGGTAATGCTCGATAAAGTTCCAGAGGGTGATTGGCTTTGTGAAGAATGTGAGGAAGCTGAAAAACAGAAGCAAGGTAAAGCTGAATATGCAATAAACATGCTATTTGTAAAAACAAATTTTAACGTAATGAACTGGCAAACAAAATTTGAGCGTCACATTTTCTGTTTCCATTATTTCTAACGACCTTGGAGTTGAAACGTGCAGAAGCTAAAAGAAAAATAGAAACTGAGTTAAACCTCAGTCCACATAGCTCGGGAAAAAGGCACGCAGATAAGATTGAGGGAGCTCCAGATGCTAAAAGACAGGCGGTTGAGGGTTCAACTGGGTCACCCAAGAAATCTATGCTCCCCAGAATAGGTCCATTATCTCGGGAAACATCATTTAAGGGCTTAGACAGGCCAAGGGGAAAGTTAAATCATCAAGCATCTTTCAGTGATACCACAGAAGGTGCACGATCTACTGGTTTACAGCTTCAACCTCCAAAAGGTAGGCTTCATAATGGGATCGCAACTCAACTTTGTCATAATTATGGACCTCTTGTGATAGAACACTACTTTTTTGTTCAGGTACATTTTTAAAATCCAGTTCCTTCAATTCTTCAAGCTCAAAACCGAAAGTGCAACTCATGGATGATGTTATTCTCCCAAGAAAGAAGACTGGGAAAGAATACACTCCTGTGGATGTAAAGGAGGGGGATGTTGGAATTGTAAGCAAATCAATGTCAAGTAGAACAACAGGCACTGGGAGTTCTACTGGAAACGACTCACAAGCAAAAATCCTTGCATCGAAAGTTCATTCACAAGAAGGCAAGAGCTCAAAGCAACTGAAAGATCGTAGTACAGAAGCTAATGCGTCAGCAGCCTCCACCGATCAGAAGCTTAATTCACGCAGCAGTTTGCAGTCTGATGGTAAACGAGGTAGCTTGACGAAGCAAGTTAGCAATCTAAACCGGAACCGTCTAGAAAATCCGGTTGCTTCTGGTATCAGTCCATTCTTTTGGTCAATAAAGTGGTACTTCTTTGATAATATATTTTGTTTGTATATGTTTTTAATCATTTTAGTATGTGATATCCGTTTGCAGGCAACTCCCGCGAGCAAAGTGCAAGTCAAGCTGACTGTAAGGATGAACTGACATCCACATCGTGTGCAGGTGAGGGTGTTCCAAGCAACGGTAACGTAGCTTCGCAGGATGGATTACTGCGGTCCAGGGAATTTAGAGAGGTAGGAAAGAAAAACAAAGAAGCCTTAGGTAAGCGCCAAAGGTCTAGCCTGTTATCAGGTGGAAAAGGATTACCATCTTCTCAAAAAGGAGGCCAGACTGCAGAGTCTAGTGACACCTCTGGCGTTTCTGATAGTGATCCCTCTACCACAAAAATTGTTCGGGAGGATATAAATAAGGGTAATAGGTTGCGAGCAGCAGTAGATGCTGCTCTCCGTAAAAAGCCCAGCTTTAGCAAGAACCGAGTATTGGAGCAATGTGATGCAGCTTTGGCATCTAATGTGCATTCTAATTCTGATAAAACTTTACGAGATCAACTGCCATCAAAGATGCCTACGACTTCATGGCCTGCTCCTGACCCGTACAAACAGACTTTTGTAACAAATGGGAAGCAGCTCGTACCCTCTGGTGCTGATGCGTTGCCTCCACGATCCGTAGAACTTGAAGTTAGTACTTCCTCTGTGAAGCCTGTTATGAGAGATTGGCCATTAGTATCCCCACTTGCTCTGTTGAGAAACTCAGCCATTCCAGACCATGAATCCATATGGCAGTAGGTTTTCTTTCCTTTTTGTGAAGACTATCCCTTTGACTTTTCCATTGATTTATGCTTCTTATATGTCCGTAAAATGCACATAGAAATGTAAGTTTTTACATCATTTTTCCAGAGGAAACTTGGAGGTGCGGAAAGCTAGAGATCAATCAGCTATGCATAGCGGAATTCAAGCACATCTATCAACCTTAGCATCACCTAAGGTTGCTGAAGTGGTGAATAAATTTCCAGAAAAGTTTAGCTTGAGTGAAGTACCTCGGCTAAGTACATGGCCTGCACAATTTCAAGACATAGGTACTAAGGAAGATCATATAGCTCTGTTCTTCTTTGCAAAGGATGTTGAGAGGTAGGTTTATACATGGTTATTACCTTTTTACTCTTTCATTTTGTGTTTTAGTTGTTCAAATTTTACTCTAATATTATTTTACTGACGAGAGTTTCGTTGCTGTTTGTGTGATACAGTTATGAGAGAAATTACAAGCCCCTGGTTGATAACATGATGAAGAAAGATTTAGCCCTAAAAGGGAACCTCGATAATATTGAGCTTTTGGTTTTTGCATCTAACCAGCTTCCTCCGAATTGCCAACGTAAGAATGCTTACCAAGACTCTTACATTTTTTTGCACATGATGGTCTCGATGATAATTTGATCTACTGAAGTCATTTTTAGTTACTTAAGTGGGGCCCAAGATGTGCTTATTATTATTCAGACCTTGTTTTCTACTTTTCTCCCTTTTTCTCTTAGATTTTCTTAAGAACTAGTTGTTGTTCACGTTGCTCTCTTGCTTAGAAATTTTAGTTGATTGTTATTATCCAATCAAGGAACCGATATGACTCTTCAGTCACGCTGCAATGCTATCTGATTAGTTTCTAGAAAGTAGCACAAATAATCGGTTCGGAACGTTTTGCCAGTTTGTTTTGTATGAAAGTACTACTTTGCTTACAATATTTATTTAATTGCAGGTTGGAACATGTTATATTTCCTTTGGGGTGTATTCCGAGGAAGAAAAGAGACTTCTACTGTTAACCCACAAAAGAACCCACCTTTGCCTGCTCCAAATGTTTTACCGCGTGACCAAGACCCCAGTGACTTGTGCCAAACGAGTTCTCCTTCCAAGCATTTGGAGAAAGCGTCTTCTCTATGCGAGAGCTCACACAACATAAATGGAACTCAAAGTAGGACAGATGTATCTAGACATGAGAATCCAAGTGACAGAGAATCCTCTATTGAGCGATCATCGAACACAAAGGTTGGTTGTTTCTTAGTCCTTGAATGCGTTTTCTCCGTCTATCTGAACTCGTTGTAGAACACTTTCATCTTTTCATTTCATGGGTTTTCTTAATACAGGTGGAAGTTGCTAAGGAGGAAGAACCAGGTGCGAATTATATTGCTTGTCAAGCTAATGGATCAAACTCTGGAGATAATCTAGTGAAGAAGGTTCAGCAGCACATTGAAGAACAAGAATTAGGTGGTGGAAAGGCTGTGCCCATGACTGTCACGGACACAGAGATTCTGCCCCATGGCCAAGACAATCCTCTAGAAAAAGATGTCAACTATAGTCAGGCTAGTCAGAGGAAGCGTCCTCATTGGGAACTGATAAGACCTGCCACCGAAAACCAGAAAGTGGAGCTCAGTAATGAAGCTTTAAGCGAAGAATCTCCGAATAAGAAGCTGAAGACAGAAACCCAAAGCGGCAGCAGCAGCAGCTTTTCACAGGATACAAATGGGAATGATTCAGGGATGATGAAGAAGAGTCCCAAAGTGGTGTTCCCTTTGGACTTGAATGCGGAAAGAGGAGAAGAAGAAGAAGACATGGAACCAGTTGATGATCTCATTCCACTTGGCAATAACAACAACAACAATCAGAGTGGGAGATTGATTGGTACAGTCCCGAATCTGGAGCTGGCATTAGGAGGTGAAGAAACAAGGCAAGAAGAAGGGGCAATGGGACTATTGCCTTTCTTAGCCGGAAGAAGCAACTCTGAGGAACAAAGTAGTAGTCATAGTAAAGGAAAAGAGAAGGAAGAAGATGATGTCTCAGCTTCTCTGTCGTTATCATTGTCGTTTCCGGGAGAGGAGAGGAAGAATGCTGATAAGAAGACTCCATTGTTTCTCTTCAGAGACCTTCCCAGATAAAATATACTTATTTGTTATCAGTCTTTTTTTTTTTTTTTGATTGGTGAAGACAAGACTCAAACGAGTAAAAAAAATCACAGGTTTTGTATATAAAAATGGTGTGATTGGAAGAAAAAGATACCGAATGTTTATTTTAAAATAATTATTGGTTGAAAACTATAGACTAATAACAAAAGTGTATTCTGAATCTCTCTCCCTCACTAATCACTCAATTACACGAGTGTTAGGGAAAGGGTGTTTTAGTATTTTCACATATAAATAGAATATTTATCCAAAAACGTGTCAGCATTTCTTCTTCTTCTTCATCTTCCTCGTATTCATCATCATCAGATCTCTTCGTGTTCGTTTTACATTTCCAATGGCGTCGTCGTGTGTCGCTCATCTTTCTCTCTCAGGTAAATCGATTCCTTCGCACTTCATCCCACCCCTTTACTTTCCAATCTGAGATCTACAAATTGTTTCTCTACGAGAAAATAAATCTACGTCGCATGATTATTCGGTTGAACGCTAATCGTGTTTGCTAGTATCTCATCTTATAGGTTTCCAATGGAATTAAGTAAAGAGGAGAGATCGCATGTAGTTTTATTTTTCTTACATTGATGCAATTTTAGCTCTGAATTTCTGTTTAAAGAAAACTAATAAATTAAAGATGAGAAACATTGATCAACATGTCGAAATGTGAATTTGTATTTTGATTTTTTTCAGCAAATTTTTTTTTTTTAATGAGATTCATCATATTAGCAAGTCTCTTGAATCTGGTTTGTACAGGTGGATCTCAATCCCATTACGTGAAGGCAAATGGACTGTCTACCGGAAAGCTCAGTTCCATTTCTAAAACCTCTGCATTGACTATCCCCAAGATCTCTAACCGGAGTCGCAAGTTGTCAGTTTCTGCAGAGTATGGGTAAGTATCTCTCTATATTGTCCTCCTCTATTGGATTTGAAGAAAACTTTTGAGTAAACTGTTGAAAGCTAATGATTGTTTTTTTTTTGTACAGGAGGAGTAGGAGAGGAAGTGGTGGTGGTGATTTCGTAGCTGGTTTTCTTCTTGGAGGTGCTTTGTTTGGCGCTGCTGCCTACATCTTTGCTCCTCAGGTAATCAAAACCTTTTTAATGGGGGGAACAATATAGTTTTTGTGGAGAATGAAACCTTTAATGTTGTGGAGAATGTTACTAAGCATATAGTTTGGTATGAAATTGTATTGGAAATGGTTATGAGTTGATTTTGATTTGCTTCTTGAAGCTTTGGGATTATCTTTATATCATTCTCTCATGCAAATCTAGCTTAAGATTTTTTGTTTTTTTTTTCTCTATGGGTGGTTTCAGATACGAAGATCGATTATGAGTGAAGAAGATGAGTATGGATCACAAGAACGACCAAGTTACTATGATGAAGGTTTAGAGAAAACTAGGGAGACTTTGAACGAGAAAATCGGACAGCTTAACTCAGCTATTGACAATGTCTCTTCTCGTTTAAGAGGTCGTGAGAAGAAGACTTCTTCCCCGGTTGAAACTGATCCAGAAGTTGAAGCTACTACTTGAAAACAATAACACACTTTGCTTCTTCTTCTCTGTTTTTCCATTTCGTAGTTGATCTATTGTGTTTCTTCTTCTTATTTACTGCTTTTATGCTTCAGTTAGAACTCTTGCAAGGTGAATAATATACGGTGTTTTGGTTTTAGTCAATTTTGAATTTTGCTTTAACTCAATTCAACTCATGATTAGAATTGTTGTTTAGTTTATTAATGCATCTTTATTTTTTTTATGAAAAGAAGAAAAAAAAGATAATAGGAAAAAGACAAGAGATAAACATTGGGCGGTGGCGTCGTCACACATGCCAAATATCTATAACAGAACCCAAAGGCCAAAACTCAGAACAAAACTAAAAGGCGAATCCTTTTTTCATCCATTTTCGACACAAAGATACTCAGAAAGAAAGCAATCCACAAGATTCTTCTTTTTGTTTTCCGCAGAAAAGTTTTGGTTTTGATTTTGTAGAACGGAAAAAGAAAACACCTTTCAATCACCTTTGCACCTTCAGGGTTTTGGGAGTATCTGTTTGATGACGTGCGTGGAGATTGTTTCTCTGTTCGTGTCAGATGGAAGATCAGGATAAGTCTCCTCCTCCTCCCAAGGTGGTTCTTTTGGATTCTTATTTGTAAAATTCTGGAAGATGATTATGTTTTGCTTGTCCTCTTTGCATTTTCACGAATGAATGCTCTTTTGATATGGAAACTTGTGATTATTTTCTGTTTGTGTGTTGAAGGATTACTATAAGATTCTAGAAGTTGATTACGACGCAACTGAGGAATTGATCAGACTCAATTATCGGAAGCTTGCATTGGTTAGTTAACATAAAGACACCTTCTTGCATTTAGATTCAATCTTGGTCTTTCTAGAATGAAGAAACTTTTCTTTTTTGGCTGAGAATGTTTTTTTTGTGGTTCTCTTTACAGAAGTGGCATCCGGATAAACACAAAGGTGATACTGCAGCTAAAGAGAAATTCATAGAGATAAATGATGCTTATAACGGTTAGTCTTTTGCATACTCTGTTTCCATGCATCTGAACATAGAAAGATAGTAACCCATTTTAGTCCCCTTAGGTAGTGAAAAGCTGTCTACGAAGAAATAATTCGTGTGGAGAAGAGAAGGAAAGTAGAAAATTTGTGGTAAATTGAAGCAATCTAGAAAGTAGATAGACGTTTTATGTAGAGGAAGAAACAAAGTTTGGCATTGAGAGAATATTTTACTAAAGCATTCAGCTTTTATCTATTTAGCTCGTTTGACCTTTATGGTTCTGTTTAAGTACAAGTACAACTCTATATAGTTTCATTTCCTCAGATAATTTTACATCCCTTCTCCATCTCTGCTTCTCTGTGAGCTTGTTTCCAAAAGCATTCACAGCATTTTTGTTTGTCTCTGGTCACCGTAATTAACCATCTTCATCTCATCTCCTTAACTCTGGCTTATGTTTTTATCAACACTTGAGAATATGATAGAGAACAATGTGCTTGTCATGTCTTGAAATTAATTGATTTGCTAACGTTACATAGCTTCTTCTTTCTCTTTGGCAGTGCTGATAGACCCCGCTGCACGTTTTGAGTACGATTTAACCGGCATTTATGAGATTCACAAGTATACATTACGGGTGTGTTAACATATACAATTGAGATTTAGAAATCTTCTTTAAAAGCATAGTATATAGTTCTTATTGATTTGTTGAGATACCCCCAAATGCTTTCTTCACACAGGAATATCTCGCCAGATTTAAGGGAATGATACTCACTTGCAATGGCCTTGGCATTAGCCAATCCTCATCACCATGGTAACCTCTCCAGATTTTCATTTTTGTTTCTGCATAGTGTCATATATTTATGTTTCATATCATGAAACTGGACATATATAGTAGCTCTTCTTCATCGGTAAAGCTTTTGACTGCAGGACACATCAATTGTCTGAGACCACCAGTAAAACAACAGACTAGCAAAGTTGGTTTTCTTATTTCACTTCTTCTTGCCACTTGGATTCATTTCTGAATCACCAAGAAAGTACTCATTATCTTCACAGGATACTGTATAAACTGAAAGCAGAAGTTAGAGCAGAGCTGTAAAACTGTGTCAAGGTTCTCAACCTCTTTCCCGTCTCACCAGCTTTTAACACGGTGTGTTTGTGCTGTACAAAACTGGAGCCTTTGACATATTAAATTGTTTCAGTTAGATGTTGTATTGTTTCTGAATCGATATAGAATTAAAGAAGCGTATAAGGTGTCTGGTTTCCATTCATACATTGGTGATGATGATTCAGGTCTTGTGCTACTTACTCCCATCGTTCAATGGATTGAAGCTTCTATCTCAAAGATTTATTTGTAGGCTTTGAAGCTTATGTCTTATAAACTGACTTGCCAATAAGAATTACATACAAAAAATTGATACATGAACTTTTAAACAATACAGGAAACAACACATTGGTTGGTATACAGTATAAGAAAGAATGTAGAACGTCCAAAACTGAGACAAGTCAGCGACTAGAGAACATGTCCCCATATGCTAGATTGAGCTCTTCTACAAAAATTTAACTTGCTTTTGAGAGACCTGAGTTTCTCATTCCAAGGGAAAACATCCCCCAAGAGAGTAACAGGATACAGATATGATCTGAGCTTCAATTCTGTTCCCCTGGGATCTCTATGGTTTCTCATAATAAATATGAACATGTGTTAGCTCATCTCATAGTATCCCAACCTCGGCTTTGAAAGATCTATGATCTTTCCAGGGGCAAGCATCTCACAGGAAAGAGCCTGACACGAAAATAAATATCTTGCAAGCTTCCCTGAGATAATCAAGCTGATCCACTTTGTCCTAACTAGAACTTCACTACACACAGCATTCATTTGGTAAGATCCCATCTTCTTTCATTTTCCTAAACAACGCATCAGCTTCACGCCGTAAACCTTTCTTATACAATCCCAACATCATTGTAGTGTATGTCCAAATATCAGGCATAAGCCCTTTGGGATTAAGGCTACAATACATATCCCAAGCATCTGACACCTCACCAGCTTTACACATCCCACGAATGATGATATTATACGTAACAATATCAGCAACCACCATTCCACTCTTTTCCATCTCCTCCAACATCACCAACGCTTTCTCTACCTTCCCATTAACACACAGACCATGTAACAAAACGTTGTAAGTGATAATATTAGGAGACACACCAGAAACAACCATCCTTTTAAAGATCTCTTCCGCAACATTAACCTTCCCTGCTAAACAATACCCCTGGATAAGAATCGTATAAGTCACTACATTTCTAACCACTCCTCTCTGAGCCATCTCGCAAAATAGTTTCATCCCATAATCCACCTTCCTAGACTTACAAAACCCATTAATGAGAATACTATAAGTCACCACATCAGGAAAACAACCTCTACTAACCATATACTCAAACATCTCCTCCGCTTCCTCTAACCGACTATACATACAAAACCCATTAATAAGCAAACTATAAGTAACAACATCAGGCTCCAAAGACCTCCGCACCATCTCCTCGTAAAGCTCCTCAGCCTCCAAAAGACTCCCTCTTTTAACACAAGCATCAATCAACGCATTGAAAGTAAACACATCAGGGATAACACCTTTCTCACTCATAACACTCACCATCCTCACAGCATCACCAAATCTCCCTATACCACAAAGTCCAGAGATTATACAGTTGTATGTAACAACATCACCTCTAACCTCCATTTCATTAAAAAAGTCCAAAGCTTTATCCACTTGCTGACTCTTACAAAGACCATCAATCACAATATTACATATCACAACGTTAGGTCTAAAACCCAACTCCACCATCTTACCAAACAAACACAACGCGTCATCAACCCTCCCGTTCCGACAAAACCCATTAAGCAACGAACCAAACGTGACAACACTCGGGTTATGCCCAAGCTTCATCATTTTCCCTAGGAATGATAATGCCAAAGAGAGTTGCGAGCAACGGCAGAGACAGTTTAAGAGAATGTTGCAAGTGTAGATGTTATGAGAGATTCCGAGAATCTCCATCTGTTCGTAGAGGTAGATCACGACGTTGTGGTGGTTGTTAAGCTTGGAGATTGAGGTTAGTAGTCTACTGAAGTCGGAGATTGAAGGAAGGGGACGGGATTGGACCATGTGGAAGAAGAGTTCTAGAGAGTCGTTTAGGTTCATGTAGCGAAGCTTGCTTCTTAATGTCTCCTTGTAATCTGTGTTACCAACGGAATAAGCTCGTCTTCGCGAGAAAGGTGAATCGAGAATGGTGTGCGACGGAGAAGTGACGGAGTTACGTTTCTCTAGAGGATTCCGATGAAGAAAGGAAGAGATCGATCTCCTCATGGTTTCTCAATCTCTCTGTGGAGTCTCAGGAGAGAAACTTGGTTAAACCTCAACTCCTAACCGGTTCGGTTAATGAACTGATAGAAAGTGGTTTAAACTAATCCGGGTCAGATTGATTCGGGAGTTTATTGGCCAACAAGGCCACAACTATTGTTTTTTGTCAGTAGTTCATTAAATCCCAAAATAGCATTACAGGCCCACAAGGCCACAACTATTGCTAAATTATAATTTCACACACTTGCGTATAAGGCTGGCTATTTTACCCCATACCGAATCTGAATCCGATTAAAAAAACTTAAACCCGAATGGATAACCAAAGATAACTGAAGATACGTATATTCAACCTTATATTTCTAATTTACTTCTCTTATTTTACCCAAAATATTTATATTGATGTTGTACATGATTCAAAATCATATAATATACATATTATTGTGGACAAAAAATTTTTTTATTCAATTAAAATGAATATCAAACTTTTTTATTTCATACATTAACAAAAGTTGCATTCAAATTCTCAAACCATTAATTAACCTATTAAAAGTTCAAAAAATCAGTTTTATAAAAAAAAATTGAATAATGAATAATTTGATTTTTTTTTAAAAATCTAAAATATCCGAATCCGAACCAAAAATATCCAAACTCGACCCTATATATAAAAATACATGAACGGGTTCTAGACCCCTATACCGAAATACCCAAAAATTTGAAATACCCGATCCGAACCTGAACGGGTCTCCGTGCGCCACCACTATTTGCGTGTATCTAGTTCTGGGATTATCAGTGGAAGTTTCAGAATTTGTCCTGGAAATTCAGGCCACGTTCACTTGAAAACTATACTGTTATTTTTGGGTTTTGAAATTATTAATAGGTTTACTGTTAGGACATCTCCAACTCAACTCCAATTTTTACTCCAAAATAGAGTAAAAGAGAATATAGAGTAAAAAACACTTCAATCCAACTCAATTTTCTACTGTATAATACAGTTTACTCCATAAATGGAGTAATTTATTTTTTATTTGTTTATTACTTCATTATGGAGTGGGATATGAAATAGGGATAGAGCATTTTTATTCCATATTCATTTTTACTTCATTTTGGAGGAAAAAATGGAATACATTATTACATTGGAGATGCTCTTATAGGACATCAGTTCACTCTATTTTTTCTTTGAAAATAGAATAACTTTATATAATAGAACTGTGTTATATTCCAATAGTACTTTATTTTAGAATGAAAAATAGAATGATGAAAAGAAAATAAACAATTTACTCTAGTTAGGTAATAAACTCATTTTTTACTTTATTATAATGTAAAAAATATAACGAAATTTGAGCAATTTTACTCTAAATTCTAATTTAACATAGAAAATAGAATGCGTTTGGAAATGTCTTAACAATACCATTTTTTGTAACAGTATACAATGACATAATGCAAGATCATTAACAAGCCCAAAATATTATTACAGGCCCACAACTGTTGCTACAATATTATTTCATACACTTGACTTGATTATGGAATTATTATGGAAGTTTAGGAATTTTTTTCTTGGAAATTCATACTGTTATTTCGGGTTTTCTGAAATTAAAAATAGAATTAATGAAAAATTTAAAACTTGACATTACTGAATAGCAAGATATCACTATAACAATAACTAGATATTGACCCGCGCTTTAAAAGCGCGGGTATATTTTTACCATTTTGATAAAATTTATTTAAATTAATTATTTAAACACAAAAATTTTAAAATTGTTTTATTAATATTTAAAAAGTTCTATTATAATGTTTGATTTTCACGTAATGTTTCTATATCCGACCCAGATCCATAGTTGAACCGGTACATTCGACAATTTTTATATAATCCAGTTAAGATTTAATTAAAAAATTTACTAATTAAAAATTTAAGCCAACCCGGTATATATCTCAAAACCCGCTATTAATATGTATTATGATATCCGTTGATCCGTTAAATAACCCCATAAAAACTGATAATATATTTTTAAAAATTTGTTAAATAATTCATATTTTTAATATTAAAGAAAATTGATTTTTTTGTAATTTCTTTAATAAAAACTTTTTTGTGATTTGAAAAAATGAAACAATGGCAATTGAAAAAAAACACAATTTATTCATATAAAAATATTAGTTTCTTTTCGTTATTAATAACCTATGATAAGTTTACATTTTTACTCATTTTATATCTAAAATTTAGTTTTTATAACAAATTGAATTGACATATCATTATTATGGATAAAATGAAACAATAAATAATAATTTATAATTTTTTATTGCTAAATAATATGATGCACAGAAATATGATATTAAAATTAAATAGAAAATCATAATTTTCATAAAAGAAAAATTATTATCAATCACAAAATATGAAATATTATCAGTTACCATAAATATAAGAGATATTAAATTGTTTAATTAATTAAGATTCTAAAAATAAATAGTGGTATTATCTTATAAATGTGATAAAAATTTAGGGGTAGAATCCAAAATTTTAACAATAGGATCCTGCTTTAATAGTATAGATTAATGCAAAGATCATTAAGATTCAAGATCATGCAAGATCATTAATCCTATTGTCAAGAAAAAAGAATGCAAGATCATAACATCATCAATGAATAGCAAAAGAGGAGTTTAGAGAGGTTGGCCACACTTATCCACCCTCTGAAACATGATAAAGCTTTCTGCTGGTTTATCTTAGGCGTGTGTCTACCTCCATATGAAATAAATCATCAAATTACTAACTGATTCATGTATATGTAAATGCATAGGCAAAGATCTATGTTCAATGTAAAAAACAAAAAAAAACTGAAAACTTGCTTTGACGGTGGCAAATGTCATTTTATTGGTAAGTTTTAGTGTATCCAACGACTTGTTAGTATCTCATCCATGTCCTCCACTCATCAGTAACTGAATAACTGAGAGATCTTATCCACGCTTGTGTTGCAGGTAAAGGAATCGCCATGTCAATATCAACTATGTATATTCACTTCACAAAGATATGTGTCATATTTAACAGTTACATAGATACATGCAAACTGATATGGTGTTGGGCGAACTAATCTACAGTGCTTTCAGTTCTTCACCAACAACAAGAACACATTAACATAGTTTTGGTAGATTTGGACACATGTTTTGCACTCTTACGTACTAAGAAAATCTTCTGCCTCCCATGTCCCTTCCTCATTGTTCTTCTTTAGCTGTCTCGTGAAGCTGAAGCGCAAACTCAAGTGCCCAAACAACATCATTCATATGTGGCCTTTCAATACCACGATCTTGAACACATCTCATACCAATCTCACAGAACTTCTCTAACGATATCAGAGTGATATCCACCGCTAGATCCGGGTCAATGATCTGATCAAGAGTTCCTCCTACATAACTCGACTTCACCCATCTGATCAAATCCGATTGTTCTTGTGGAAAGTTCTCGACATTGATCAGTCTACAACACAAAACTTCGAACAAAACAACTCCAAAAGAATACACATCCGATTTCACCGTCAAGACTTGACGCCGATAGTACTCAGGATCCAAATAACCAAACGTCCCTTTAACAACAGTCGAGACATGCGTTTGAGATTCACTAGTTGGCCCCACTTTCGATAGTCCAAAGTCAGAGACCTTAGCTACGTAGTTCTCATCGAGAAGTATGTTGGTGGTCTTGATATCTCGGTGTATGATCGTCTGCTTCGCGCCTGTATGGAGATACTGTAGTCCACGAGCCGCTCCGATGCAAATCTCTAACCTCCGTTTCCACGACAAAGGAGGATCAACATCCTTGTTCCTTTTGCAAAGATGGTCTTTGAGAGTTCCACGTGGCATATACTCGTAGACAAGTACCATCTCGTCCTCCTCGTAGCAGTATCCGATTAAGGAAACGAGGTGTACATGACGGAGCTCTGAGAGCATCTCGAGCTCCGTTTTGAACTCTTTCGCGCCTTGTTTCGATGACACACTCAGCCGTTTAACCCGCCACAAGTGTGATGGTTCCAGAACCGTGTATTCGTCCTTTGTCCACCGAACCGAACCCACCTGCTCCAACGATCAGCTTCTCGTCGAAATCATTAGTGGCGTGTTTTATTTCGAAGATGGAGAATTTACGGCAGAGGTATAGTGGCGGCAGATCAGATGAGACTGTTCTTGAAAGCGAGTCCGTACGCTTCTTCTTACACAACAACAACACAATGACACCGACTAACATCGCTAGGAAAATTGTGGAACCAACCACTAAAACATGTGAAGTACCTTTTCTCATCTTAGGCGTTACATGATTTGGTGTTCGTTCTGATGATGATACTAGAGGATCTGGATTAGGTCCAGCGAGACTACCTTCAGAGTCATTAACCTTGAGGATCTCTACACCATTGAGAATAGCGTCCAAATACTTCGGAATAATAGCGCTGAAAGGATGCAAATCAAGCCGTAGATCAGTTCTCAGACCACTTCCAGAACCACCGACATAAAAAACAAAATCTAGATACATCGGAATCCGAGAACCGCCACTCATGCCAATCACATCCATCTCAAGCTTAGCAATCTGACTCCCGATGAAGATAGTGAAAACACGTTGACCAGGTGCATTCACTTCCGTTAGAGTCTCACAGAAATGAAGCCTAACTAAGTACAAAACCCCCGCGTCAACAGGGAATAGCCACGTCAGATTGAAGTTCAGGTTCAGCTTAGGGTCACCTACGTTACCCATCGTACGGTACGTCTTGTACACATCTTCCGGGGCAACGTACGATGGAGTTTTCTCCGTGTAGTTTATCTTTGCTTCTGGTACGTCTATCTTGAAACCTGAGTTCTCACCGAGTACGACGTCATCATCCTGAAACCACACCCGTAACATATCATCGTCGACCATTTTACCAGCGATGTTTATCCGATGAAGTGTTTCCAAGGCAGTATTGTTGCCTATCTCGAAGTCAATAGTACTACCAACGTTCGTTATCGTATCCTCGAATCCTCCCTTTGAGTAAAACCGGTCAGGCATGGAGACAATCTCGATGCCGTTAACGAAAGCTAACGAACTTGGAGACGGCGTGAACGTTAGATTCATAGTTTGGTTAGTCGGTACGATAAACTCTTTGATTAAGGATTTTGATTTAGTTGAATCTACCGTTAACTCAGCGCTGAAGTTGTTCAAGAGAGTGAAACCGTTAACGGTGACGGAGAAGAAAGAACTCTTGGCGTCAAAACCAGATTCGTACCGGGTCGGGTAAAAGTATAACCGGAGATATTTCCAGCCGGGAGAGACTTGAAAAATGTAGTTGACAGTAGATGGGAAAACGCGAGCAGTCATGTAGGGAACTTGAGGAACCTCTTCTTGGTACGATGCATCTGAAGAGAAGGAAACATTGTGTGTCAGAAGATGTTGCTGATCAGATGTCCAAGTTTGGTTTTGAGAGTCTTTGGTGTTGGAGTTAGTGCCGCAGTTGATGAGGAAGAGATCGGTGGGTTTGTATGCTGCCACGACGGCGAGGGAAATAATGAGAATATAGGTGGTTAGAAGAGCGTGACTGATCATTTGGAATTTTGATTAATGAGAACAGTTGAAGTATTACGAAATCAGGGAGAGATGTAATAGAAGGTGTGTTGTGTAATGAGGAGAAGGAAAGATAAAGAGATTATGACCGTATAATTGAAGCTAAAACCCATGGGAGGTGCTGAGGTGAGTGAGTTTACCGTTGACTGACTTTTCGAGAGACCAAACAAAAGAAGAATGGCTTCCATGAAATTTCTACGTAGTCAATAATTTATGTCTAATATAGTCTTTTTATGTCCTCAACAGCTCCTAACCGGTTAATAATGGTTTAATCGGGCTGTTCGGTTTTTCAATGAACCAAAGTGTTTTAAACCGATTCGGATCAGATAGATTCTCTCGACTGCATGGTAGAAATTTCCTTGTATTGTAAAGCAATACATTTCCTTGTACTCTTGTGCACTTATTAGATGCAGTTCAAATGATATGATCTAATAAGTGCAATGCAATATAAAGTGACTTCTTCAAAGTACTATTCAACTTTGAAATCAGGTCATGGTCACTTGAAAACTATACTGTATACTTTGGGTTTTGAAATTTTAAATTAGGTATATCATTAATGAGATTAAACTTGAAAATCAATATGTTATAACACTAATGATATTTATAACATAACATAATAATGGTAAGAAGGGATTTTATAAAGGTTGACCACTTATCCACCTCTGAAACATGATAAAGCTTTCTTTTGGTTTTAATTCAGACGTGTGTCCACCTCCCTGTAAAATACATCATGAATTGACCTTCATTGATAACTTTGTTCATATGTTGCAACTATCTGTGTTCAATGTAAAAGGGAAGACTTACTTTTACAGTAGCAAATGTCATTTTATTGGCATAAGTCTTAGTGTATGCTGGTCGAGCCACTATGTTACAAAAGAGTAAAACACTCTAAATGCCTATATATAGATTAAGATTAATGCTTCAAAAGACACTTAAATTAAGTGTTTGTTTTTTGTTCACCTTGAGAAGAAACTCGTGGATCCGCTTAGCTTCTCCTGAGTCACTTGGTGTATCAAGAAGTTGAGTTTTTGAGTAAGAGAAGCCAGTACCAACAGGCTGGTCCAAGTATATTATGCTCGCCACCTAGAAAACAACGATCCAATCTATCAACCAAAGAAAAAAATTGATTTGTAATCAAGAATATTGAAACGACAAGCAGTACCTTTGTCCATGAATATGTAGTAGATATCAAAGTGGGAGTACCTCCATTGTAACCCTCAACTCTGAATTTAACAGGCTCTGTTAGCGTAAAATTTATGCATTAGAAAATAATGTGTATGGTTAAGGATATGAAAGAGGTTAAGGAAATGCAAAATTCAACACTAATATGGGTTTTAAGTTAAAACTTTTAACTAGCCCATGCATGATGTTATATTGGTTTGAGCATAAGAGCAACCAGGTCCTCATGCATGATGTGTTAAAATTAAAAAGAAATAATGTTTTCAATTCTTTTTACCATTCTCAAACAGAAGAGCGGAGAGAGCAGAGCAACCAGGTCCTCCAGTTAACCAGAGAAGAAGAGGATCTTCTTTTGGATTCCTCTCAGATTTAATGAAGTAGTAAAACAGCTGCACTTGCTCTTCTTCACTAACACCAATATACCTTCATTCATTTCACAAACAAGTGGTCTAATATATGCTTCTTCTTTTTTTGTGTAACTGGTCTAATACATGATTTTTATTTCAAACAAACCCGGTTTCAAGCTGGAAAGGAAGAAGCCCTTCAAAACCAGGAAGAAACTTTACAATGGATCCAGGGTTTACATGTGGACTCAAGATCATAAGTGCAAGAAGAAGCAGCAGCAATTTCTGAGCCATTTCTTTTTCTCTTTCTTTTTTTTGTTTGTTTAGTTTCCTGTCAACTAAATATCACATGATACTGAAAAAAGAGCACCAAAAGTTCTCGTAAAATTACAAAACAGCTACTCATGTCACTATCAAGCTTCTACATCTGTTCAACTTGGACAGAAAAGTCACCTCTATAGTTCAGTTCTGTGCACTATCATCATCAACTCGATTCTTGTTGCCTCGAGAGCCACGACCACTTAATCTGTCTAGAACCTTGTTCATATAATTCTCTCAGAGGCTTCATCTTAGTCTTCTCAAGAGAAACACAAGCATTAACATAAGGTAAAAGACAGTTATTTCGATATAAAGAGATGTAGATTGATAAATACGGTTATACAACTACACAACAATAAATATTCTCTGATCTGAGCAAAACTGAAGCATCTTTGATAACAACAACAACAAAAAAAACATGTTTCTTCGCAATCCTACAAAGCTAAAGAAAGACATGAATCTCTGATCCAATAAGATAACGCCAAAAGTCTTTTTTTTCAACCCGTCATTCCTGGGAAGAGCTGTGATATCTTGTTGAACACATCCATTACCTGCAATCCAACAAAAAAAACCCCAAATTCTTACAAATGTCATTGCCTGAGATGTTTTCAGTGCACAACTTAAAACTAGCACTAGATTGAATGTTTTACCTCCTTGTCGTTTTGGTACTTCATGATGTTCATTGGGTTCTCTGAACACTGAAACAACAACAATCAAATTAAGTTAGAGATCATGTCAAAGTATTTTTTTGTTTTCAAGTTGAAAGAAAACGTACTTCCATTAACGCTGCTTGGACTCTAGGATTCTGGAACGCCATTGCAACATCAGGATTCTCCATAATCTTAGAGATGACTTCTTCTGGAGTCAGTCCTATTTGATCTGATAAATTGTTTCAATTCACCAAGTGTTTTTAAACCTATGCCACAACCATAATAGTATAAACTTTGTAGCAATTGAGAGGGATCATTAAATTACCGAATTGTTGCTTAACTTCAGGGCTATTCAGGTCGAAATTCTTTAAGGTATCCATCATTCTCTTGTCCCATTCACCACTCCCACTCATATTATTCCTAATATCCATGGCAAACAAACAAGGGTAAATCGAAAAAGATATAGTTTTAAAGATTTTTAAAAGCAATGGAAAGGAATACATTTGTAACTGGAACTTACAACATGTCCTGAAGCTGTTGACGGTATTGAGGATTCTTAAGCATCCCTACAATACTTCCAACATGGTCCAACAGTTAGACCTTCAGAAGCAATACTGAGGACAAAAACAATAATACCAAGATGCTCTAAACGCTAACAGACTTACATTTGAAAGTTTCTGGGTTCCTCATCTCCTCAGGCAAATGTCTGTATTCATACACGCAATGTTACCAAATGTCCACTTTAAGCAAACAATTTTGAGAATAAACTTAAGAGAAGGATTGAAACATAAAGTGAGAGGGAAGATGAGTTACGGGTAAACCATCTTTTGAACTGTTGGATCTTCCATCATTTTCTCTAAAGCTTCTACTGATAAACCAGGCCCTCCTTTTCCAGCTCCTGTGTAAACAATCGTCAGGCTAAGGATTCTATTTAAAAACTAAGGAAAACAATCCAGATGAGAAAAGAAAATCATGAAATATGAGATATGAAAATATAGCTCGGCTATATGCTGGTATACCAAAATCACAGAGCAGAAGCTTAATAAGCATTCCATAAGGCTGCAAGTTTTATGGAGTAGAGGACACAAGTAACGGTGTAGATCCTTTCGAAGCCAAATCATTTCTCTTTATCACCAATTTAAATCTTTTCTTTGGTTTCTAATTGTTTGTATAAACTATAAACGAAAATGGAAATCTCTAGCCTTAAATATGAATCAAGTACAGTGTATTGCAAGTGATGAAAACTGATATTCTTTTAACTCACCCAAAGATTGAAAAACCTCTGAAGCAGTGGCACCATTGGCCGGAGCAGCTCCATTCTGCAGAACCTTAACCCAAAGATCAAATGGGATAAGCACAGAAACATCCCAGATTAACCAAATCAAGTCAGTTTTTTAAATCGCCACTTGATGCTGTGCAGATGCATTAGAAAAAAACAGAAACTTACATCCTCAAACAAGCGAGTTTCTTTGGGGGCACTAGCTTCAGAGACTTCTGCATAGTTGCTAAATGGACTCTCCTTTGCGGTTTCCTCAGGGGAAACGTCTTCAAAGGCTGCATCATACAGTTAAAGAAACTTCCAAATTAGAAGCTTCGAAAACGCTAAAGCCAAGAAGCTCAAAATTTAATGTCACAAGAGAAGAGGAGGTTGATTGATATCTGAAACAGAAAAGAATCTACCGTAGTTCTTTTCTTCTTTCTTCGCGTTGTTTTCCTCTAAAACAACACTTGGCTCATCCACTTCTATATTCTTTGTAGGAGTAGGAGGTGTAGGTTGTGGCTTAGACACAGGAGGCCTATCTACTTTTGTAGCAGTCACATCAACAGTAGCACCTGAAGACTGGGATTGAGATTGAAACGGAGATGAAGTAGGACTTGTTTGAGGAGGAAATGGAAACGGAAAAGGTGATCCTGATCCAGCTCCAGGTCCTGTCGGGAATCCAGGATTATTAAACTGGCTGTTTTGAGTATTCATCTGGTTCATCATTGTCTTCATAGCTGTTTGCATTGCATATTTCTAAAACCAAAAGCAAAGACACGTTCAGAAACAAAACAACAGCCAGTTAGAGAATAACGAGAGAAAGCATTAAGACATTGTGAAATCTATAGCAATGAAAATGATTATAGGTGAAAAATATCAATAAACCATAACCTAAGTGACTAGCCAAAAGAAAAGAGAAGCAAATGCTTCCATGCTTAAATGTATAGTTTCAGAACATGTGAGCGACCAGTTCAGCTTGTTAAGATAACCAATCTAATGAAATACTATTTCAGATACATACGTACTAAACACCAGAGAAGATAAATAAAAAATATTAGAGTGTAAAATTAAGTAACTGGTACCTTTAAATTTGACGTTGCCTGTAATCACAACAGACCAAAAAAAAAAAAAAAAGAGGAATTAGGTACATATTCGTTGATACTATAAAGTATGAAGAGAGATACTAAAGCAAGAGAGAAACAAAGAAACTAAAGTTAAACATTAAAACAAAGAAAGTCACCCAAGAGAACAAAGCTGATAGCCCAACCCCAACACCAATCCAAAAAAGTGGTGATCCTCTACACACACAAAAAAAAAAAGCAGAATCAAACTAAGCTCACTATTCAAAGATAATGAGCTTCGAAATCTGATGTAAGCGGGAAAATGGTTGGTAAAGTTACATGGTTGATGAGGATGATGGTGGTGGCACAGCTACAGTAGGGGAAGCAACAGAGGTTGTCTGTTTATCACGACCCGAAGAAAAAATACTTGCAAAAGCATTGCCTTTGTGTTTCACAACCACTGCAAAAGAGATAATAATAATAAAATAAGACACAAAGTGATGTCTTTTTACAGACAAGAAAAAAAAGTTCGAATTGCAAAATACAAAAGACAAATTCACAAAGCTTTTTTTTTTTTTTCGAATTTGAATTGTTATAAAGATAAAAGGTAAGAAAGTGAGAAGCTTTTCGCTTCTCAATCGAGTGGAAAGTGAAAGCTAACCAATTTCACCAGCTTTCTCCGGAGACTGAGATTGAGATTGCGCAGAGGCGGAGATTTTGGAGCGGCGGAGGAGAATTTTAGGAGTCCGGCGGGAAAACCCTAGTGGGGGTTTAAGAGAGGAAGTGAAATTGCATCCGACTAAGAGGTTGGGAGAAGAAGCTGAGCAAGAAACTAGGGTTAGGTTCTCCATCACTGTTTTATCTCTTTTGCTTTCTGGTGGAGAAGAAGATGATGAGAGGATGAATGAAGTGAAAAAAGAAAAACGCTTTTGTTTAAGCTACTGTTGTATCCTCTTCAAGTAGGAGACTTGAGTTTCTTGGATCCTCTGCGGCGAAGTACACAGAAACTTCTTTCGGGTTTTACAGGTTGCGAGTGTGTATAACCGTTGAGATCTCATCGTTGAATTTCAGATATAATCCAAGGGTGTTGTAATATTTCTAAAAGTAACCCCTTACCTTTTGTTTTAGTTACATTTTAGCTCGTCTCTGTCTTAAGTAACGTTTTTACCCCCGATTTTGTTTTATCAACAACAGAAATTACACTGCAGGAATCGGTAAAATTAATTGATTTGCTGAAAAATAACAAATGTTTTGTTGAAACGCACTTAAGAATATGATTTTGAGATTATCATCTAACTAACGTTCTCAAACCTACCTTTTTTTTTATCAAACATAATTTCATTCATACTAAAAAATTTTACACTCCATTAGCGGAAAATAAGTTCAGCAATATGAGAATTGATTTTGCCACCAATACAACTATTACATTGCTCAAACGAGGTACATACAAAAAGTAGATAACTTCAAATAAAGATTAAAGAACAAAAATGGTAAATGTCGAATAAAATACCGAACAAAACTGGTATTGGACCTCTCTTCTTCATAAGCTTCATCAAAAATTGAGAATCAAACATAATCATTAGGAATCTAACATTGAACAAGGCGGCATATATAACTTCTGAACGAATGGCGAGAACCTCAACCATAAACGCCGATGATACAAGAATACGAGAGGTTGAGATGGGAGAAGGGCACACGCTCAGTCCCACAGCCGAGAATATACCACCTGTCCTGCAGTTTCTTGTTCCTGCATCGCAAGCTCCCACTCCCACCTACCTTTTTCTATGTGCCATTTTCATAGCCGTATCGCTATTAGGAGGAATCAAGGCAAATAGTTTCGATTTAAACGAATGCAGGTCATCATCAACATCTGCCATATCATGTGTGCCTAGACGATAGTATCTTGCACAGCGACACTCTACAACGGTTGTGGACAAGTTGAAGTTTTGGTTATTCACAAGCTTTTACTGTTGTGATATGACTCTTGCAACACTAAAGGTTGGCTTGTCATGTTAGGATCCATTTGAACAAAGTGTTTTTTTCTTTTACAACGTAAGACTCGTACAGCTTCCATTTGTTACTCTAACTCACATATTTTTTATGGCATCATTAGTCCCATACTTATTTTGATGACATCATTAATCACATGCTTGTTATACACTAATCATTTTAAATGTCACTTTTTATGTTTATTAGTCGACGGGTCAAAGCTATATTCACAAGCTTCTGTTTAATCCTCACACGACTAAAACTTCAGACCATAGTAGAAGAGTCGAGAACCAAATCTAGGATCAATTAAATTCCAATCTGAAGGCCTTTCATTTCATAGATACAAACAAAAAAACAGAGCTAAGAGTTGAGATTCAAGTGTCATTTAAAACAAACATTGAGCACCAAAAGAAATCAAAAGGTTGAAGCTACAATAACAAAGTAAAAAGTATAACGAAGCTGCTTCTCAGATAATGGGCCAAAGGCTTCCACATACGAGAGCTTGAGAAGATGCTAAGGTTCTTCAAGATTTAAACCTAAGAAAATGTCTAACAAAAGCTCAACACAGCTCTCTTCCTTGATCTAAAACACGAAGGAAAAAAATCACCTTCAAGCATCTTAGATCAAAGCATCATCAAACAATGCAGAACTCAAGAAGAATCTCTTTGGCTTAAATCAAAGAGAACCAAATCATAACCTCAGCCCTTCTTTTCAGTGTGGTTAAAGCAATAGAATCATCATAGAGCAGTACAAAAAAAAATAAGAAAAATACAAAAAGAATCTACAAGAAAAAAAAAAAAAGTATCTAGAGCATGAGTATGGAAAAGCTGCTTCTCAGACAAAGGGCCAAAGTTTGTCCACATGAGAGGACTTGAAAACATGTCATGAAACTATTCCAACCAGGAAAAAATATCAACAAGACATCAACATTACTCTCTACCTTAATCTAAACCACGAAGGAGAACACCTTCAAAGCAACTTAGATCAAGGTGTCATCAAGAAAACATCGAGATCTAATCAAACACTTTCCCTGGTCAGAACCAACCAGTGCCACAACACATTCTCAAACCCATCTTTTTCAGTGTGGTTAAAGCAAAAGAATCATCATAGAGCAGCCACTCATACCAAAACAATCAGATATCGTTAAAAAGAATGACAATTTATAGATCTAAGAAGAACACACAAAAAAAAAGAAAAGCTGTTGAATCTCGAGAAAATGATAGAATCCACAGGAAAACGAATTCTACATGTCCAGAGATTACAAAGACGTTTGATTTTCGCATCGGAACACATCTCTAGCTAAATGAAATGATCAGCTTAAAGACTCTTAACACAAACAGTTCCCCTTATATGCTAATCTCTTAACCTAAAGTTTCGGACTTTCAACAAACAAAAAAATCGGATCTTTTGATAACAGAATGGATTTTCGTGAATAACAATTTGCGGCTATATTTCGAAGACGAAGTCTTTTATTTATAAACTTAGGGTTTTTACATCGCTTTTAACGAACCCTAGCTTCTAATTAAATGGGCCTGTAGGCCCAAAACTGTATCTTTCTCTTCTTCTCTCTCTCGACTCTGTTTCTATCGACGGAAACATCAATGATTACTCAGTAATTGTAGAATCAGTAAAAGCGAATCTCTTTCAGTAATTCATTGAATTTAGCTTAGTTATACATCTTCTCTGTTATTGTTCATTCACATTACCGATAAAAATCCCTTCTTTGTTTGTTTCCAGGGCTAAGACAAATCTGAGATTCTCCTCTGTTTTAATGTCCTAAGGAGATTCGTTTCTTCCTTAACAAAACCCCTCTTCTGTTACTCTCTGTTACTACCATCTCCGTATCTCTAAGCTGTTGTTGTCTTAACCCAATCATCAAAAATCATCCTTTTTGTATAAATCTCAATTTCTTCAATTCTCCATGTACTTTTCTTCTGTATCACTCTGATACGGATGCATAAGATGTGCCATGAAACTCTCAACGTCTCTCCGGCAGAGTCTGGAGTTACGTTCAATGAGTTAGACCACGTCCCCTTGACGACAAGGCGGAGTTTGTTGCAATCTAACTCTGTTTCTTTGCCTGCGTGAGTGCTCTGTTTCTCTATGGTTTATACACTTTTTTGAAGCGGTTTTGAAAACTTTTACTTTATGTTTTTCTTTGGTTTCATATGTTTTGTAGATCGAGGGTTGTTGATAGTATCGTGAAAACGGAAGAGGATTGTTTTAATGAGCTGGTAAGGTTTAAATAAAGAGATCTTTGTGTTACATTGTTGCTATTTAGAGTACTGATTATGTAGTTTCTCCAGGGTGTAGTATCAAACTCCCAAACTCCGGAATCTACTACCCTTGGTTGTAGTCAAGGTCTAATTGATTCTGGAAACTTAAGAGAACAGAACAGCATTCTAGTATGTTGTAGTAATGCCGAAGAGAGTTTTGAAAGAGTGGAACAAACTGCAGGGAGTGATGATGCTCTTGAACATCTAACACTAAAAGAGAGACGCAAATTGCTTCTAGAAAGGTGCTTTATTTGATTTAACTCATATTTTCACAAGCTTGTCTGTGTAACTCGGTAGGGTTCATGTCTGTCTAATGGTTACGATACTTGTTGTTGCAGGATGGTGTTAAGGCTGCCAGAACCTAACTTAGAGGTAACAAAGCTTCCTCCTGATTTTGTGATATTTTAGTGTAGGATTTATTGGGTCTAACTGTTTATTTGCGTTAGAAGTTGCAGGATAACACTAAAGATTCTGATCTTTTCGAAATAAAAGCTGAGAATTCATGCAAAAATGGGATAGCTTCATCTTCTGAGGCCAGATTCAGCGGGTTTCTAGAGAAAATTGATTCTTTCCTCTATAAGAAAGTTAGTATAGGCTCAAAATCTGAAAGTCAGCTTAGTGGAATCCAAGAGAACGATATCCCGGTTGCTAACAAAAGGTCCTTTGAGTCGTCACCTGAAGCCAGTCTGCATGAGTTATCCAATAGTGATTATGACCAGTCTCCATTAAGTAGCAACTGTTATGCAGCTGCACCAGAAAAGCAGAGAGATAGAGTCAAAAGAGTTAAAAGGAATCCACGTCCTTTGAATGTTAGTGAGATACAGTTGAATCAAGAAAAATGTGAGTCTTTAGATGATTGCGTCTTGGAGAATAATGAAGAGAGAAATCCTGTTACCTCAGAGCAAGTACAGGTCAAAAGAGAGGTGGAAACAAATGATGAAGATGAGCTAGATTTTGTGAATTTGATCTCTCGCTTGACTCGTTGTACATCTGCTCCAAGTCCTGCTAGCTTTGTGAAAAACGAAGCAGAGACGGCTAGTGAATTGGAAGAAGATAAGATAGACCACATGAAACTAATTGATCGGTTAAAGCATCATCGATCTTCTCATGGTTCAGGTCATCATGAAGAATCTAGTTCTCCAACCTCAGGTTTTAGCTTCTGTACATCTGATGAATACGTTAAACCTTTGAGGGTATCACGTCCTTGGAAGCGAAAGAAAACCGCCACGTGAGTCACTCTGTTGTAGCCTTTTCTCACATATGATTATCTCTGTTTCATTTTTGATCTTATGGTATGAAATAACCATTGCAGGAACTCAATTGAGACAGCTCTGGAGGAAGATGCTCCTGGTCTTTTGCAGGTATCATGTTGTTCCTCTCAAAAACTGAATATAACAGAACTTCTGCAAACTAAGATTTGGTGATGAAATCTGGTGTTTGCAGGTACTGATTAAACAAGGAGTAACAGTAGATGAACTCAGGCTTTATGGGGAGGATGATTCTTCAGATGATTCACTTCTGGAAGAGACCTTCTCAGAGCTGGAAGATGTGATCTCACAGGTAAAACAATCCTTCATTTATCTTTACAAGGGTAGGTAGCTTTCTCCACAATGTGTCAAAGATTGAATCATTTTTTAAACTATCAGCTCTACTTCAAACGAGCAACTGGCCCTAAACTTCTTAATTTAAGTTTCTCAAAAGATTCAAGAACCAGCTATTGCTTAACCTGCCTATTCTCCCTCATAGAACAGGTACAACTCAAGTCTCCTCAGCTTTTCTTCTTCTATATTCGCCTTTCTTCCTAACGTGTTTCTTTTTGTTTTCAAGGCACGGTATCTGCGGTTTCGCAAATGGCCTGTTGAATGGGGTTGGTGCCGTGATCTCCAGTCTTTCATATTCGTTTTCGAGAGACATAACCGGTAAAAACTAACTCCTTCTCTCTACTTCTTTTGCAGCATAAACTATTTTTTATTGATGTTACTTGTTTTACTTTGATACAGGATAGTAATGGAACGGCCTGAATATGGCTACGCAACATACTTCTTCGAACTCAGCAACACTGCATCAGTCGGATGGCAGATTAAACGGTTAGTCTTGGCCATGAAACTTGCAAGCTGTGGCCGTTATCAACTTATTGAAAACAAGCCATTACTGGTAAACTCTTCTCACTTGTTAGAATGAACTTAGATATATGTTTTTTAACTAAGGTTTATGATCCTGAACTCTCTCTCTGTGAAAACAAAAAGGTAGGAGAGGATATGACAGAAGGGGAAGCGGAAGTGTTGATGAAGTACGGTTGGGTTGCGAACACGGGTCTAGGGACAATGTTAAACTACCGTGATAGAGTGTTCCATGACAGGAAGAATCATAAAGAGACATCAGAATGGAAGTCTAAGATATGTAAGCTTCTGGTTGATGGCTATAACAGTGGGACTATTGTCTCAACTTTCATTGCTCACTCTGATGATGTTGGTGATCATGATGATGATGGTGCCGGACTTGACATGGGAGATGTTAAGCTGGAGAGTTACTGAAAACTTTGTGAATCTCTGCTGTGGTGGCCACTAGTTTGTTTAAGAGTATTCAAATGTGGATAGGAAACCTTAGGTTGTTTATTTATTTGATCAAATTAAATTTGGTGGAGTTTGTAAGGTTTATCAAAAATATACAAGATGGAAAAAACAAGCTCTCTAAGGAGAAGCTCCATTTTTTGCTGCGGTTGTCACTGTAGTCTATAGGTTTGTGGTGGCCAAGGAGAAGCCCAATGCCATGTTATGTAAAAGTATAAATCGTGGTCATATAGGCCTATTGATATTCAGGCAAAATCATGTGGACTTTATCGTTACACAAAGATGCTGGCCGTGTAGAGGACTCGAGAGGATTTTACTTTGGTGCGTGGGGGCGAGAAAAGGTCTCATCACATTAAGAGAAATTTTATGTAGCCTAAAATTTAATGAAAGATTTTTTTTATTCTGAGACTTGATTCAATTTACATTGACACGTTTATATTCTTGTCGTCAACCATGTCAAAAAGGTTATTACAAATTTGCTTTTTTTATTATTTATTTATGTAATACTTCAGAGCATATAAATGATGATGTATCACAACAATGAAACTCTTAATATTCATATAATAAGAAAAAGTTATTTACTTGGGTAACTTTGCAAAAGGAATTGTACTTTTGTTTTAAAGTCGTGAAGTGTAGCCAATGTGTCACAATAAGCAGGAGAACGAAACTCTACTCATTCACCAACTTCAAATGTATTATAATCATTGTTGTCGTTACCAAATTCTCCTTTTTCTATAATTTATATATTAAAAATTTATCCACCAACCTAACTAGTTTTTATTTTAAATTCTTTGAAATTTAATAATTCCCTTATCTTCAGCTCTTTTCTCTTCTCTTTAATCCATCATTCACAGTTCCACTACCACCCCTTTGGCTCTTCTTTGTGACAAATCATGTCTAAGCAATGATCATATTTGTTATGAGAAAAGGTTCATATACATGCACTCTTTTTTTCCCACTTTCTTTGTATTTTATAAGGAAAACATATTAATTTATACCCTTTATGGTATAAAAGGCATTCATGTTTTTTATTCAGCCAGCCCAAAATAATTAGGATCTTCACAATAATAGAATGGAAATTATAATATGATTCATCAGCTAGAAGCCTAGAAGGCGCTTATCTTCTACATTTTCTTTCGAAAGTAAAACTAAACGTATACACATTACTTTGTATAAGGGTATTTGATAGCAATGAGCTTAATTTACGTAACTTTTGTTATAATTTTTTTTTTTTTGATAAATTTTATAGGTATGTTCAATTAAGCCTCAACAGTGTTGTCGTGCAAATATAAAGTTCGATCATAAATCGTTGATGGATTAATGAGAAGAGAAAAGAAGAATATAAGGAAAATTGTTAAACTTCAAATACTAGTTTGTATCTTTTAACAAACAAAAAAAAACTAGTTTGTTAGCTTACATGGTAAACTGTTTCGCATTTCTAATTCATTTTTAATAGTATATAAACGTAAATTTATTCCAACCCCTTTTAATTTTTACTTTAATATAGATGAATACATTAGACTATCTCTATTATAAAACCATTTTATTTTATAGATAAAATGCTAAAATATACTCACTATGTTTCATTATAAGTGATATTTTACAGTTCTGCACACGGATTAAGAAAATAATTAATGTTGTATATTTTCTATATAAAAACACAATTACCTATATACCTAACCACATTTTAACCAATAGAAAAATAAATTATAAAATAAAAGTAATAAATTTTGTATTAAAAACCGAAAACGATACTTATTTTGTAACGAAAAAAATCTCTACAATGACACTTATTATGAAACGGAGGGAGTATTGAAGATGGTCAATAAATGGTGATGAAAGAATGATGTTGTAATGTGACAATCAAAGTACAAACTCCGATAATTCTTTTTCACATAATGGTTTGGTGAAAGTTGTTACCACTTGTCTATCAATCCCATTCACTTGTGGTCCATTTGTCTTAAACTCCATACACATACAAATACATAATACACAGCAGGACCATCATATAGACAACAGCCTTATGAAGCCACCGCAGCCTCTCAATTTAGGAGGTCCTACACAAATATGATGTATTTTCTAAACCTGAAAATAAGAAACTGAACAATACTGTAAATTTGGCATGTGCACCTTTTTGTTTAACTTTATTCTTATCTGAAATCTTTTGTTTGGTTAATCAAAATGGGATATATAATTTAAAATTTATTTAAATATTCGACGTTTGAGTTATTTAAATTTGACATTCTTATTTGTTTAAAAACTACATTATTCAGGAAATTTTGGTCATTCTTATTTGTTTAAAAACTACATTATTCAGGAAATTTTGGTCATTTAAGCGACAATGTTGTATATCTAAAGTTATTCTTTTTACTAGTTTTATTCCGTCTATGGACCTGCATATGTCAGCATCGAGACATATATGTGTTGACGAAATATGCAACACATGTGTCATCATCAATCATCAGCAATGTTTACATATAACATATGAAATATGCAAGTAGGTATAAGAATTGTAGTGCGGGTTGATACATATGCATGCGTGGGTCGGTGTAGTTTTCCACTTTTTTGGTAACATCTGATTAATCGGTTCAATCAATAATATGAAAACTACACGAAATTATCTTAGTAAATAATCAACCTAGCTAGACCACTTAGGTATACCGTAAATCTTACTTTCTCTCTTTCTAAATAAGTGTTGTTTTACCATTTTTTTGTTTTAAAATAAATATCATTATATATTTTCAATGCAAATTTTTACATATATTTTTATTTTACTTTTTTAATCAAATAATAGATATTTTTAAAAATTATTTTATTTAAATAATTATACATTAAATGAAAATATACTAGTACTATATTTTTCATATTCTTAATATGCGTAAAATATGTTAAAAATAACACTTATACTAAAATGGAGAGAATATATTTTTACAGACTACTTGATCCATTAAATTTGTAAATTTGGCCTGCTAGCCGGCCAATTGTTAGAAGAATGTTTATCACCGACACATTAACAGTACTAATACTAGTACCAATGCTAACCAGTAGAAGTGAGCGTAGAGGTTGATGCTCCATCACAAATGCTTTGAAGTTTGAACGTGAGACTGAGGATATTTAGTTGCTGGAGTTATTAGTATATCCTGAGATTCAATCATATGATCGTGACGTTGCATTGGTGAAATCTCATACAGAGCAATGGATTTCATCACCATGACGCGATCATTGTATCATCATTTAGTATTTTCTACTTTTCTTCGAACGGTATTACGTGTTTTCAAGCAATCGTCAACTTTTGATTTATGGTGAAACCAGTTATATATGTAGCCAGCAAAATCGACGCAAAAGAAGTTGGCAGCAAACTAATATTATTTTCTGATCAAGGTTAAGATTCAAAAATAATATATGCATATATCACTACTAGATGGTATTATAAAAGTATTTTTTTTTTTTGGTAAAATGGAATTATAAGAGTTGGTAAACTTTTGGAATGAAATTTAATTATTTTGTGTGGAATTAATTTGTTTAGTAATATATATTATTTGTCAGCTACTTGCAATTAAAATTGAATAACCAAACTTTTTTTAATGCGTTCATAACATAACTTTTTAACTTTTATATTGTGTTACAAAATAAAATACTTTTTCTTTGATGTTTTGCTGATAAAGTGGAAAAGAATTTGATTGAGAGACATCGGAGGAAATTAACCACAAGCGACTAGTGGAATTAGCTACTCAATGAACTTGGAATTATAATGCATTGGGAATAATTACAAGTCTATTTTGATTCATTATTTAACGTGTCTATGTTAGATTTTAAGAATTATATCACGAAATTATTTTGGTCTGTCACAAAAATTACGAACTTATCAAGAAAATAATAATACTTACTAGATTTGTAACAAGTGGTATATACGAGGTTAGAGTTTCATATTTTCCATCAAATATGTCAAAATAATCAACAGAGAAATTAAAGTATGTTCACCATTGCAATCGTTATTACATATGTATTTTACACCTAATCATCCACTATATTGCAAACCAAGTCCAAATCCAAATCGTTCAACAAACAAAAATAACTAATTGAAAACAACATGGAAGAAAAAAAATTAAAGTAAAATGTTCATGAATATTAGTCTAAACCATTCTTGAACATCCGCTTCCAACAAAACCATCATCATGATCATTCATAAACAATTCCAAGCTGCTCAAATCATTGATGTCCCACAAGTTCATTATCGTATCAACATTGTTGTGGAACTTGCCGTCTTTGTAATTAATGTTATCCAGTGATGACTCATCGGATGATAGCCACTTGAGGTCAATATTCTCCATTTCATCAAGAAACTTCGAGAACTCCTCACCCTGTACTGATGATATACACGACGATGTAGAGGAAGAGGAAGAAGGAGAAGTGGATTTACTAATGCTAATATGCGCATTATCATCATTAGTATGATGATGACCAAAAGAGAAGTCCAGTAATATCTCATGCGGATTGAGCATTGGGACTTCATCAATGCAAAACCCATCATCAGTCGTTGTGTTGTTCGTATCCAACTCTATCTCTAGTTGATGAGGTTCTTGTTTTTCTTTAGTTTGTTTATTTTCTTGGCCTTGTTTTGTGGCCTTGTTATCCTGAGGCAATAAGCTCTTCTTGCTCCCTTGAGCTTGTTGTGAACCGTCTTGTTCAGGGAGAGGCTTATGGGTCGTAGGGTCAATACCCATCTTCCTTAGTTTTTTCTTTATGTGTGTGTTCCAATGGTTCTTTATTTCATTATCAGTTCTTCCTGGTAGATGAGAGGCAATCTTTGACCATCTGCACATAAATTAAAATATGCAAAAGTTACGTGAGAATTTAACTCAAGATTTCGACTGTTCAGTCATTTTCATCAGATCGACTAAATTAAACTAGTGTTGTTAAGTAAACGCACGAGTAAATAAAGGAGTAATTGGCCAATCTCTTTCATACAAAGAAAAAATGATAAACTTCGCGTGATATTGTGACTTTTGTGTTTATACGATACCTTAAGTATATTAAATATAATGGTCATGATGTATATATATATTCTATAATCTATACGAGTTAGTTACGATGTCAGAGTTAAGCTAAATTACAATTTGAGCAAAATTGTTTCTGTATTTTTAGCGAAAAATAAAATTGTTTATATATGGAATAACAATTATTTTCGAGAGTAAAGAGAATAATAAACCTATTGCCAAGTTGGGCATGAAGATCAATGACCATTTGTTCTTCATGTTCTGATAAAAGACCTCTTTTTAAATCAGGTCTCAAATAATTGATCCATCTTAATCTGCAGCTTTTTCCACATCTCAACAGTCCTGATTGAATCAATTAAACAAAGCAATTAGATTAACGATCAGAAAAGCTAGTAAATATACGAAAGATATAAACTGATTAGGAATGAACCAGTGAAAACAAAACTAAACAAAAAATGTTCAAGAACAAATAATAACGTGTGAGGACCACCAGTATCAAACACTATGATTTTTACTCGGGCCAAACACCATGATTAGTAGTCAGATTATATATTTTCGGATTTAAAGTCGAAAAGATAGAGAACTATTCCGTTTCAAAAAGGACGGCAAGAATTAATATAATTCTCCTGCATTGAAATTATTACTGAAAATAGCTGCTAAAAGTAAATTCATTTGATTATTGGTGCAAAACTATACTAGTATATATTACTAAAAGAACTCATGCAAGTTTAACAAAAAAAAAGGTAGAGAAGTATTATTATAAAGCTGTTATAAAAAAAAGAAAACAGAGATAGAATAAAAATCATTAGGAATAATAGCGGATGTTTCAAGAAAGTGAACTTATAAAATACGATAATCCATATATCAAAATAACATATCGTTTTCTTTGGTAAGAGAAAGGGTAAAACACTTGCAAAAGCGAACTTTTTACACATGAGAAATCCCAACTACATCGCTATGGAGGAAAAAAAGAAAGAAGATATACCAGAAAGCTTGGGAAGTGCTCTCCAACAGCAGTGGCCATTAGTGAGGATGAAGTTGATGAGCTTCTTGTCTTCTTCAGCAGTCCATGGCCCTTTCTTCAAACCTACTTTGTCACAACATGGTTGCCTCCCCATCTCTCTCCTCTCTCTATAGATAGATATAGTCTGGAGATGTGCTCAAATAGGTACCTAATATACTTACAAGTTATAATGTATTTCTAAGACTCGAGAAGCAACACAACAACCTATATATAGGGAGTAAGAGATGTCAAAACCATGTTAGTGACTTTGTGGACCTACATTTCTTCTCGTATATTCTATTCGTTATTATACATTTTATCCAAGCTTATAATTAACGTTGTTAATCCCTATTTCCCATATGGTTATGAGTGTTTCTTTACTATTTTATCGATAATATTAATTTTATATAGTTTTACGAGCTATCAGATTTGTACCTAGTAAACTGCATACAGCTTTTTTTGGTATAAATGTTAAAATAACTGCATACAGTTATTAACTAATAAAAGCCATTAAACTAAAATTGTCAATTACATAAGTTTTGAAAGTAATGAAACTATGGATGCATTAAGTTAAATATGTATAGAAGTCATTTATAAATACTTCAGAAAAATTACGCGTACACACTCATATTTAATTTATGTGTAAGTCCTTCTTTTCTTGGAATATAAATAAAGTCAGTGCTATTGGAGTGAAAAAACTGAATGTGATACTGTCTATAACACGGTAAAAGGAACATAGAAGTTGATACTTGATGGGGGTTTAAAACACGTGTAAGTGAGTGTGATCACGCTGAAAGTTCTTTATCATCAGACAAAAACACCTCATCAACCGACAACAGTATATGTATTATTTGCTTATTATATCTGAAAACTCGAATCCCGTACTGGAATATAAGAGTTTGGTTTGTGAAAAAACAAATTACTACTCTACTTTTGAAATTAATCACCAATACTATGATTGTTTTTGTTGGCACTAATAAGACTCTAGGTTTTGCATTGTTTGTGGTGCTTTTATTGTTGCGGTGCCACGTTCAGCACAAACTTACGTAATGATGACATCAAACATTTTGTTCGAGCCATTTAACAATGTGGAACTATTATTATAAAGGCCCGTGTAAACAAAAAGGCTATACACTTGAAAATGGCCCATGATACATTTTCATATTGTTGAATCGGCCTGGTAACTTAATAACGTCCATTAGAGTATGATTAACTCAGAAATTCTTATGATAAGATTTTTAGTAGAAATTAAGAAACTGTTTATTAATTTCCGCTAAAACCACCACCCCAAAAACCCGGATTAATCATAGTCTTAGATTCTTATACACCAATAAGTTTTTTTTGGGTTATCTATTAGAATGAATCTCTAGATTCACCAATCAATAAAATTATATTATAACATATTTAATATCTTTTTAAAAAACAAAATATTATGAAACTGTATTATGTTTTCAAAATAAAAGATTAAATAAGAATAGTTATAAAAAATATCTTTTAATAGTCAATTTAAAACCGTCAACAAAACACTAAATACTAAATCTTAAACCCAAAACTTTTTGGTAAATCTTAAGTCCTTGAATAAATTTTAAACCCTAAATCAAAATCAATAAACACTAAATCTTGGAAACACTAAACCCTTAAACCCTTGAATATAACTGTAAACCTTAAGATTTATGATTATCCAAAAAATTAGTGTTTAGTATTTAGTGTTTTGTTTATAGCATTAAAAATAGTTTAATATTTATTCAAGGATTAATGATTTACCTAAGGATTTATGGTTTACCCAAAGGTGTAGTAAGGTTTAGGATTTAGAGTTATTGTTTTGCTCACATCGTTAAAAATGCTTTAAAACAAAAGAAAAAATTAGTAACTATTTTTTATTTATTTTTATCTTTTTATTTTAAAAATATAATATAACTTGAAAATATTTTTTTTAAGATATTAAATATATAATAATACAATTCTATTGGTCGATGAATCTAGAAATTCACTTTAAGAGTTGAATCCGAATTTTTTTTTTTTTTTTTGGACTAAACCATACACCAATAAGTTTTGCAATTTATCTTTAACTGATGCAAATAAGTCCAGCTCATGGTGGGACAATCGGACAAGGACGATATTGAAAGAGATAATTAAATATCACAGATACAAAACCCCAAGGAAATGAGTAACTTGAGAAATCCCATTTAACGTTTGCAAAACTGACATTGATGTAAATAAGAACAATTTCAAAGGATGTAGGAGCCGAAGAAGCATATATGCGTAGAGGTGGTTCAGTATAAGAGATACATGCCAATTATTTCCATGACGTTATTATGTTTACGTTCTTCTTCTTTGTTTCAATGTTTTTGTGACAATTCATCCTGTGGCTTATTAGCGCTGCAGCGCACCGACCCTAACTTCTCACCGTGGGAGCAACTGCCTCTACATCCATCGATAGGTTATTGATGCGATTAGCGTTACTCGAACCCAAAACTTTCACCCTTTAACAACTTTTTACAAGATAAACTGCCACCAATTGAATTACAGATAAGCTACCACCAAGTAAAAAAGTCGACTTTTATTGTAGTTCAATTGTTGACAACTTGTTCAGTGGAATGGTTGTTAAAGGATGAGGTCTTGGGTTCGAGTAGCGCCAAACGCATCAATAACCTACATGGAGGAGTCAATGAAGACTTACATAGGAGATATTAAGATCGATGCGCTGCAGCGCTGTGAACTTCCAGTGAACAGATTGTCACAGTTTTGCCAACAATGTTTCTACTTTTTATCATTGGCATAATATTTGACATTGGAGAGAAATCTGCGGGAGCTTGATCTCAGAGGAAACAATTATGCAGGCGAGCTTCCTCCTTGTTTCGGTAGCTTGAACAAGTTACAGGTTCTTGACCTCTCATCCAACCAATTACCTCATAATTTCTATAAAGTAGTAATGTTGAGACTTTTAAAATTTATTAATCGATAAAAATATTAATTTACAAAAAAAGGTTTATTGATTTATTTATTTTTAAAATATATTTATTTTAAGGCAAGAAAAATTATTTTATTTTAATATATTAACATTATTATTATTTTTAAAATTTGACATTTATATTAATTTTATTATGTTATTTGGTGGATAATATATATATTGATTAGAAGGTAAATGTGGTTGTAGATATTATATTACTATATTCATCAAAAATCTGTTAAGTGTTAGAAAATATAAAGATAAGTTCATTGTTAATATAAAACAAAACGATATAATAATATATTCTTACTTATATAAAATATGTATATGTGCTTTTTGCTTTTTGTCCAAGTCTTTTAACAAAATAAAAAATGTCTGCTATGTTTCCATAAGTTTAAGGGTCTTTTCTGCAAAGACCTTCAATTGTCTTATCAAAAAAATCAAAGCAAACACTTACGCATGTTCAATCTGTTGTTCGGTCCGCTTTTGGTTCGTTTTTTTCGGTTTTCAATTATTCGGTTTATAAAAGTTAGCTACCATATTGGAACCATATTTAATTTGGTTTGGTTCGGTATTTATACTACCGGTTTTCGGTTTATTCGGTTTTATACCAAATAACATTATTATTTGATTTGGTTTTATATTATATGAATTTAAAAAAAAAACATATTGTCAAAAATATTATTTATTAAAATAATCCTAAGTGTTCATAAATATAAAAATGTGAAATTAACAACAAACAAACGACCAACAATTCAGTTTTGTACAGTTTTTCTTATTTTCTCTTTGTTTTTCCATATAAATTACATGTTACAATCTAATTTCACAATTTCTTACAACATGCAAAATCAAATCAAATTTAGATAATAGTTGAAGAAAATAAAATTATAAAGATATATCTTCATCAGGAATAAAAAAGGAAAAAAAGACTATTCCAAGAAAATAAATGGGTATATAATGTATATATTTATATATTTTATCTTTGATCGGTTTTGTTCGGTTTATTCGGTTTAATCGGTTATAAACCTAACCATATTGGTTTTTATAAAATCCTATCCATTCGATTTATATGGTATATACCAAATCCAGACCACATTGTCTATTTTGGTTCGGTACGGTTCGTTCGGTACGGTTCGGTATTATCATATTGAACAGTCTAATCACTTTTCTTTATCTAAACTACGACAATATCTTTTTCAATTCATGTAAGTGCACATTACTTATGACCCATTTAAATACTCGGATAGATGGTCAAAACTATGTGATATTTGCTAAGAGATAGGAAATATGCATAAACTTATTTGCCATGTCACTACAAGAAAACAGAAAGCAATATGTTGCTAACAAATTTTAATTCTACAAGAGCAATCGCTAATCTAAGTCTTGTGTGCTTATTTAAGCAATCACCTCGAGAAGAAGACATTCAGTACAGCTCTTCGGAGTGCTGTCCCACATCGACTCATTAGCTTTCTTTACTTCTTCTTCGTTAACTCTTTGTCATTTTTTCGTTTATTCCTAGAACATGTAATGGGTCTGCTGACAAGTTGGCCAAGGCCTTTACCTGTCCACGCACCTATCAAACTCGGGCCCTTAAGCCCATCCTCTTTTCTTTAACAAAAAAAAACGACATCTAAGTCATGTGTGCAAACATCGATAACCCATTATTGAATTTTTGGTTTCGTAGCAGAGAACGAATCTATTATGGAACTCAACGCTCATCAGAGCTATAATCAACGACATCCAGATTAAAGAGATCTTTGGTATCATCAAAGATATTCAACAGATTTCTTCTGGTTTTGTCGCGATAAACTTCTCTCATATTCCACGGTTATCAAACACCGAAGCCGACTGTTTGGCTAAAACTACTCTTTCTTTTTCTGTTGTTTTAAACCCATTTGTGGGAGTACGTTGGGCCTGAGGCATGTTCTTCTGAATTTTAATTAAGTAAGTGTTACAAAAAAAGAAAAGAACTCATATATTTGTTTTTTTAAATAACAGCAAGGAACACATCTCTCATCTCTGCTTATAGTGAAGGCAACGAGCGTCGTCTCACTGGAAAACACGAGACTGCCGATAGCAACACTTACTTATGTGTAAGAGTTTTTTTCTTTCATAGCATGTCAACCGTGGTGCATCAATTAGGGTTGGTCGCGACACTGAGCAAGCTGGGAAAAGATACTTGGAAGATCGTAGGCTAGCGTCGATCATGGATCCTTACACTGTGACGTCCATGATTGTTGAAACCACATTCCTCTAGAAACCACGAAGGAAGAAAACTAGTATCATTTCATGTTCATTCTTCTATTGTCTTGTCTCGTTCTCATGTCTTCTTTGTTTAAGTATGTTTGATTTTAAC